TCGTGTTTGGTAAAGAAAACATCAACTTCCTTTTTAGTTTACAAAAGAGACTCACAAAATAAGAATTCCTCTTTGATAGTATAAAGAGACACCTAACGAGTTAAAACAAGAGGTTGACTACAATTCGAGATGTCTATAGTTTCATCCAGTTGCATACTAAAGGAAATTGGCGATGCTTTTAATTCATCGATGATCTGCTTCAAGATATTGCAAGAAATTTCAACTATTCTTGAATGTATCACATCATTTGACAATAGAATAGCCTCAGTTTTTTCTTTCTCTGTTCCTGTCCACAGACTAATTCAACCATTTCCAGCGCACATGGCTTTAATTAACGTCCCTCCAATAGTATACGATATGCATTTTTGAGAAAATCCTCTACCAGAGGTTTTTGTGGAATACCAAATGCAAGTTTGGTTAATGTTGCAGATTTCAAAAACTGGGCTTTCTTCTTGGTAAAAAATTCCAGATCTAGTAACCTGGACAAGGTGTCAAATGTACGTAGTTTGATAGGGGATGATTAAATATAGCACAGCGGACGCCATCAGGGGGTTGCCTCTGATGGTGCAAACTGTAAGCCGGTTAGTGGGGGATGTTAAAAATATGGCAGGGATATTAGTAGGCTGTATGCAGTCTGAACTGAATTTCTGTATCTCGCTCACCTAGCTTCAAATATATGTATTTTCCCCTTTTAGGGAAAAAAAGATGAATGTCATTTAAATACTATTGATCCAAACGTTTTAAAAAAATAAGTTGACGGACCCCCAAAATATGACCCATGGACCCCCAAAGGGGTTCATGAACCACAGGTTAAGAAATCCTGTTTTAAAGGAACATATATGCAAAGAATCCTTAAAGCAAAATGTGTGAAAAAAATGTTAAATAAATTTTACAAATTTGTTAAATAATATTGTTCAAATGAAAATTTTCTAAAAATGTTGGGGAGGGCCAAACTTAAACATTGCTTGATGAATGAACTATTGCACGGTAGATGTAGCAGCAGTTGCAGGTCATTTACGTCGCACTAGAGCTGCACAATGGGCTGTTGGCGACGGTCTGGGAAACATACCGGAGGATGATCCGAAGACATGCCATCACAATTTTGATCCTCTGCGGATTTACTTTTTGTAATTTAAACGTTTAGAATATACAGGGCAATTCAAAATGAATCGAGCAATTACTAATTCCTATAGCTATTTAATGAAAGAGCGAATGTATCTATAAAACCAGCAAAAACTGTAGAAGGAACTTCAACTTTTTGTATACGTGTGTCACAGATTTCTTATGTGACTTCCGTTGGTCACTCGGCCATAGGTGGCGCCTCTGGAAAACAAGAACAATCGCACCCCCTCTGCCTTAAAAGCATACGTCAATAACAACACAGACATCTAGTCGCTAGTTCATTTCACGTCATGCATTCTGAAGCTTTTGTGCAAGTCATCGAAGCAAGCGCTACTTTTCTATTTGCACAAACATCTTATGCGTACGCTGTTTTTATTTAAAAAGGTTCTTGATTGTAACGCTGACGAAATCTTCTCTCCACTGCGATAACAGAATCACAATTGTTAAATTCTAACACGCAGAGTGCACGGGACTTTCCACTAAAAAACTATCGCAGGATTCCCCTTTACTGCGCCTTACGTAATGAATGTTCCATCTGCATTCTATGTAAATCATATGGATGAATTATTTTTCATTAGATAGTCATAGCTGTTTGTAATCACTATATTCATTTTGAATGGTGTTATTAATATATACATACGTATATATTGTATATAATACATTTGTGTATATGTATTATCCATTGTAGCGATTCCCTTCTGGAAAATCTATTTTTAGATCAAGCCCCCAAATTGTGCCTCTTCAGCCTACCCTGAGAGGCCGGGATTAAGGTTTTTACATCATTCCAGTGAGTATCCCTTCAGCGAGCAGTCGCACTAACTTGTTACGCTTCAATAAATATATGTTAAGTTTTAAAAATCGTCATCCTTGCTCTCACCACACATTGGAGTCCTCATTAATTAGTGATTAGAGGAAATTAATTTACACCTTGAAACCTCTAAACCATCTATATATGTATATATCAGGGATGAGAGTAGTTGGAAAGTAAAAAAAGAGGAAATTCAAGAATAAATGAATCTATACACTGAGTGGCCAANTGATAGTTCACAAGAAGCTTTTGTTTGAGCGTTGATATCATTGTCATCCCACTGACCACAGACTGTTACTGCATCATCTACGTTTACAAAGCCATGAAATTCGATGTCATTAAGCTTCATGAGTCTGGTCAATATGTCCCAATCATTTTCGGTGTAGTTTTCAGCAGAATTAACGATATTGAGACTACTTTCGTGATCTTTAATGACTTCTTGAAGTCATTCATTATTGTTGCGTCATCCTCTCTCTCTGTAAATGTAGCGGTACTCAGAAGCTTCAAGGATTCCTACGAGAGCGGTCTTAACCAACCAATCTCCCTTGTTAATAATTTTAAATAAAGTTGAAGAAAAATTGTAATTATCCTGTTTACCAGCCTATTTGTCCCTTTCCTGCTCTTTTGATTGCTATATTGAATAATTTTTTACAATCTAGCATCTCACAATTATCGTAGAGGAAGACACATCATTCCTTGCCTGTCAGCCATTCAAAAATTTTTTATTTTTTTTGGAATATTTTTTTAATTTTAGAAAAAAAATCTACACTATTTATGGAAAAAAAATTCAAGTTATTGAGGGAATAGAAAAAAAAATCGTGAAATCAAGTATTTTTTAACATTGAGTGTATAGGAAATTTGAAGGGAATTTTCTTCTTCTTCTTCGAGATATCGAAAAATTCGTGAAATTGAGGTTCGACTGTACATACATATATATTGTATATACAGAGTTGCACATGCGAGTTCAATAATCTCACCGAACCCGGCTCAGTAGACGTTCGTACGGACTCACAAGTATTTCTTCAAACATGCAAAATGATTGGCGATTTCATACACTATGGACCGACAGTTGGATTTTGGTTGATTGTCGAAATGGGTTGTGGTCGAATGAATTGTAAAAACGTTGAATAGAACAATGTGAAAAACACGTTTTGCAAAATACATACAAGGTATCTGCTACATTTTAGATTTTCAAATTCATGACTTTTCATGATCAATTAAAAGAACTTTTCATGACTTAACGAAGTTACTAGTTTCTCCCAACAAAAACAGAACAATACATTTAAAAAGCATTATAATACATTCATTGCAATGATAGGTTAACCAAAACAGTTATACTCTGCACCTTCATATTTAGAGATTTTAAATTTAAACAGAGAAAAAAAAAAGAGTTGAAACAATAAAATAGTTTAAAAAAAAAATACACAAGCAAATAATTTTTTTCTTGTTCTTTTTCTGCAGAATTATATTCTTAAGATACTTTTCTTGTTCATCGGAAAGGAACGAAATACTCCTGATTTTCCTGTTCTCATTTCGGAATTTAAAAAAAAATTCGCTAATGACTGGGTTGCTTCAGCTAGAATTTTAAATTAATAAAATAACAAAAATAATAAAAATTCCGAAATCACAGAAGTTGAAAAGATAATTCACTCTAGAAATGATGTTTTTTCTTTCATTTTATGAAAGAACACCATAATTCTCAAAGAACATAATAAAAACATTTTATATTTCAATCAAATATGACTGTGAGTGGGGATTTTGTTAAAAATTCAGATATTCGGAACACCATGAAATTAGAGGGAGGGGTAAAATTAATTTTGAAAATTTGGTGACCTAAATCCATGACTTTTTTGAAAAAATAGTTAAAATCATGACAAATTTTGTTCTGATACCAAATTTCATGACTTTCCAGGTGGGTGAATACTCAGTACATAGTACAAGTCGACATGGTAAAGAAAACAATCACTTTTTCGAAACGGTAAAATTAAGAACTTTTTTAAAACACCCAATGAAAAAAAGTCCCTTTAAGTGTTTCTAAATAACGAAAAATCGAAAATAAGCATCTGTAAGCACCTTTTTAAAAACGTTACTCACCATGTATAATATAAAAATATTGAGAATGACTCTTTATTTTTGGACAATAATTGTTTATGTACACAAATGAAAGAAAAACAATGCTGATGATATGATTATTTACAGAAAAAAACATTCCGCAGTTATTTTATTTTCCTTTCCCTCCTTTGATGAGATGTGCTGTCTTAGGTGGACCAGTAAATCTNACAAGTCGACATGGTAAAGAAAACAATCTCATTTTCGAAACGGTAAAATTAAGAACTTTTTAAAAACACCCAATGAAAAAAAGTCCCTTTAAGTGTTTCTTAATAACGAAAATCGAAAATAAGCATCTTTAAGCACCTTTTTAAGAACGTTACTCACCATGTATAATATAAAAATATTGAGAATGACTCTTTATTTTTGGACAATAATTGTTTATGTACACAAATGAAAGAAAAACAATGCTGATGATATGATTATTTACAGAACAAAACATTCCGCAGTTATTTTAGTTTTATTTTCCTTTCCCTCCTCTGATGAGCTGTGCTGTCTAGGTGGACCAGCAAATCTCGCTTGGAAACAACATCGACAGAGCAGAGCTCGCAGCGGATGAGTTCGAAATCTCTGCTCCTGCAAACAAATCAAAACTCCTTAAGTAACAGTTACTCAAAATGACTCTTTTATCGAGTTTGAACTCGAAAGGGAAAAAGTTTCGACAATCGTGCCAAACTGAATAACTTATTTAACTAAGAAATAACTTACCTTCAAACTTAATTTAATAACTTAAAAACAAATTATAATAATTTATAATTATTAAATTTATTATAATTATTTATAATTATATTTAATAATAATTTAACAAACTTAATTGTGTCACAGAGTGACCCTGATGTTCAAAAAATCGATATCAATTTATATATCATACATATTTCATGTTTAACATAACTTTTTGAACTAACATTTATATTGACAAATGAACAATATGACACCTTTTCAGTAACTACTGAAGAATATGACACCTTTTTAGTAACTACTGAAGAATATGACACCTTTTCAGTAACTAATGAAAAATATGACACCTTTCAGTAACTACTGAAGAATATGCAACCTTTTCAGTAACTACTGAAGAATATGACACCTTTTCAGTAACTACTAAAAAATATGACACCTTTTCAGTAACTACTAAAAAATATGACATCTTTCACAGTAACTAATGAAGAATATGACACCTTTTAATTCACAAAAAAAACTTACTTCCGACAAGAATCACGATATTGGATTTTCAAATTGCGTGAATACGTATAGCGATATTCTGTTTCAAATCCCGTGAATCGTAATTGCGATGTACGATTTTCAAATCGCGTGAATACGAATCACAATGCGTAGCTTTAAATCAAGTAAATACCAAAATCAATATTTGATATTAAAATCACGTGAATAAGATTCACAATATTAGCAGATTGTAAAGCACAAATACAAACTGTGATATTAGATTTTTAAATCCCGTGAATCGTAATTGCGATGTACGATTTTCAAATTGCGTGAATACGAATCAGAACATGTAGCTTTAAATCAGGTGGATTCCAAAATCAATGTTTGATATTAAAATTGCATGAATGAGAATCACAATATTAGAAGATTCCGGCGCAGTTCCAATCAAATAAAATGGCGAAAGAATTGCGTAAGACTTGATTCTTCATGTAATTGACGGAAGAATGTACGTAAATGTTGCGTTAACGGGATTTAGAGAAGGCATCAAAATTTTTTCGGATTCGTCTGAGAACCAATGGTATTGAGATAAGCGGAATTCTGCGATACTCGTGCAAAAATCACATGTCCTGCTTCTAGTTTTTATTCCGGGGTATCCCTGGAATACAATCACCTCTGTTTAATGATGATTTACAAGATCTATATTATATAATAAATCAGAAAATCCTAAAGACACAGTTTGTATCTATATATATATATATGCTTAGAGTAAAAAGAAAAGGCATATTTTTGAAGTAATGTATTAAAATACAACAATTCTATAAATGCCAACTTGGAAGTCCTAAAGTGAAGGGGAGACAATTTTATTAAAACTGTTACATAATACAGTGTGCGTAGCCAAATCTTTCAACAAAAAATAAGCACCTTTTAAGTACTTTTTAAGCACTATATACATTAAGAAAATAATTTTCAAGGACTTTACATGATCATGATAAGATAACTAGTTTCTGACAAAGAACTCTTTTCTTGATTATATTAGCCACCATAAAAAGATCGAGAGATTTTTCGGTTAAATTTCAAAGGGTGGAAAATGAAGCCTGAAATTGAGAATATCGCGCAAAATGCAGCAGAGTTGCTCACGAGAGAGCAATAATCTCACTGAACTCAGCTCAGTGGATGCACAAGCGGACTCGCAAGTACTTCATCTAACATGCAAAATGATCGACGCTTTCATACGCTATGAAACGAGTGTACAGCGAAATAGATTGCGGTTGAATGAATTGTAAAACGTTGAACAGAACATCGAGAAAATCAAGCTTTTGCATAATATATGGAGAAAATCGACAGGGTAAAGAAAAGAAAATCTCATTTTGCAAAAGGGAAAATTTAGCACTTTTTAGAAACACCCAATGAAAAAAGCACCTTTATGGGCTTTTAAATAACCAAAATCGAAAATAAGCACCTGTAAGCATTTTTTAAAAAAAGCAACGCACCCTATTATAAAAGCCAAAATTGCAGTATAACCAACTTATTAAATCAAAAATTAAAGCATGAAATAATAAACAAGATTTCCCCCTACCAAATCAATTTTTAAAAAGTTTCTAAGATCCTTAAATTGGATGATAAGAACAATGGCATTGTTTAAATTTGAAAGAAAAAATTTCATACACCATTCCTCTTATTAATGCTTTTTAAAAATAATATTTCTATTAAGTAACTTTCAGAAACATTATTAAAATGTATCAAATTGTGTTCTCCATTGATCTTTCCTTTTAGTGCAAAGAGAAGCAACAGTTTTACCAGTTTGGTTCGAAATTGGCTCAATATGAATCTATAACAGGGTGCATAGCCATTTTTTCAATCAAAAAACAAGCACATTTAAAGTACTTTTCAAGCACTCAAAAAATATTTTTAATCACCTTCGAAAAAAAAAATAATTAGGATTTGTGCATTAATAAAAATTATTTTTTCTAACGTTTAAAGTACTTAATTTGCAAACATAAAATCAATAACATTTTCAAAAACTTGACATAATCATGATGATATAACTAGTTTCTGATAAATATTGCAGAGAAAATTGTGAAAATAATGCATTTTTTTGTAATTTAGAACAATTGACATGGCAAAGAAAAAATCTCTCCTTAAAAGATAGAAAATTAAGCACTTTTTACAAACACCGATGAAAAAAGCACCTTTACGGGCTTTTAAAAAACATAAATAAAAAACAAGCACCCTTAAGTACTTTTTAAAAATGTTACGCACCCGTATAAGAACGTGCACCGAGGAATCAATATTGGGATGTTCGGATTTTTTAATATTGGTTTTAGAATGGCCTATGTAGGGCCTACAATGGCTAAATAATGGATAGAAAATATCACGTGAATCTGAAAATTCTACATAGGGCCGATATTGGAATAATAAAGGCCCTTCGAACCATTACTGAGCCGAGATTCATGACTATTGGCCCAATAAAAGCAAAAGTCATTTTGCTGCCAGGGTTTATTCATTTTTTAACATGAGCATACACCCATAGCAAATTCATATACAGTCAAACTTCTATATAACGAACTTCCATTTTGCGAATTTTTTCAAGGAACCAAGAAAATTTCGGAAATTTCTTCGTAAAATAACTTCCAATAGAGAAGTGAATTTCCTATTTAACGAACTTTTCTTTGAGATCCAATCTCCCTATTTCCCAAAATATTTCAGAACATTTTAAACTTGTTAACTCATTTCATGGGGAAATGACCTTGAATTAATTTTCGAAGCCACTGCTTTATGAAATGTATTACGAAAGCAGTAAATTCCCTTTCCCTTTTTGTTTGCATTTCAAACGAAAATCTCAATTCAAATTACGGGTTTCATCACTAGCAATGAAACTTAAGAACGCATGTGGTAATGTATGTTTGAAATTACTTTTTTAATAAATGCACCTATAATTTTATACCTAAATTTAGCCTTTTCTTAGTTGAAAATGTATATAGCATGATTGTATAACACTGCATAATGTTTTGCTCTATTCTTGCTTTCCATGCAGATTTCTTTCATGGTTAAGATTTATAAAGAAATAGTAGATACTAATTTACAATATAAAGGTGCATGCATTGCTTATTTTAATTATGTCCAGTGTTCATGAATTTGAAACCTGTTTTGTGTCGTTTAAATATTTCAAAAGATGATTTTCTATTTAACGAATTGTCAAATTATTCAACAAAAAATAAGCACCTTTTAAGCACTTTTCAAGCACTCAAAAAATATTTTTAAACACTTTAAAAAAATATTACACAGGGTTGGAAAGTTTTTGACAATTGACTATGTTATCTTCTTTTAACTGTCATGTCAAAGAACCTTTTGGCAGTTGACAAAAATCATGAAATTTTAAATCATGTAAAACGAATGGCGTTTTCATACGCTACGGACTGACAACAGGGTTGCCACAGTAAAAAATGAACAAAAATAGTTGTTTTTAGTAGCCTCAAGCATGAAAATAGTTGCCTAAAACTAGGAAAATAGTTGCCTGAACAGGAACAAAAATTTATCAAAAATAGTAGCCAAATAACTAAAATTATAGCTTAATTGTCAAATACTATTATTAGGACTGGGTGATGTCAGAAATTTTAAATCGTGATACATCGTCAGTTAGACATCCCGATATAGTGATGTATCGCAATTTAGCATTTGTTCAAAAATTACCTATGGGAAATCTTTAAATGAATCTAAAATAAATAAAAAGGAATAAATCTAGTAAAAAAGACAATATTAATTCTAAACATATTCTACTATGACATCAATATCATTGCTTAATTTTTTCAATTAAATTAATAAAGAAGTTAAAGTAAAAGCAAACCCAAATTTCATTTTTCTTAAATTAAAAAGGATTTAAGATTCATTGGTTTAAAATAATAATACTGTAACAAATCATTTTAAGTACATGAAGTAAAAATTAAAAGAAGAAAAAAAACGAAAGTGGAAAACAAACCAAAGAAATGTTCACTTAAGAAATTTTTTTTTATTTTTTATTATTTGTTGAAAAAAAACATGCTTTTGAAACATTATTAGCCCCCTTTTATTTACTTATTTAAAATAATAAAAAGTAGTATTAACTAATGGTCAAATTGTGTAATTAATAAATGTAAAAATATTTTTACTTATTTATTATTTTCATTTTTGAAAATAAAATCAACTAAAGATTTATTAGTTTAAAAATGATACTGACTATCGAACAAATTATAAAACAAACAAGTATTGAAAGAATTTTAATAAAAAGTTTTAAAAAATACTTTAAGTACTAATGTTAAATTATTAAAAACTTCAAAACATTACTAAACTTTTTATTTAATTAAAAAAAAATTTGTTTTAACTAATAGCCAAATTTTTTTAAAACTTTGTTTTCATTTTCTTAAAAATAAAAGTAAATTAAATAAAGGTAAGCTTTGTTTTAATTTTTTTATAATTAAAAACGACTGAGCATTTATTGGTTGAAAAACAATCAAATTATTATACTTAACTACATTTAATAAATTTAAAAAAACCAAGTTTTTACAACAAAGTTAAATACAAAATACCCCTATTAAATTGTATCGCTTACAATAATAAACAATTGAAAAAAATCAATGATTTGATCTATTGAGTTCAGAAAGAAAATTTAAGATAACAGCGATTGTGCAGCAATAGCAAAGTAAATAATTGACAAGAATCGTTAAACCCAGACAAAAAAAAATGGCATGAAATAATGCAGAACGAAACGATTGCTGCAAAAGTCTCACTGAAAATAATTTACAAGAAACCCGACAATTATTTCCGACGAAATAAAATGCAAAACGATAGCAAAATGACTTAAGTTCCATTGAAATTAATCTTCAAAAAAAGCAAAATCCCAAAGATAAAAATGGACATAAAGAAACTATGCATTGCGTTCTATATTACAACGCTGATCCTCGCATGAAGCTAGGAGTTCTGATTCAATTCAATCTTCGTCATTCAACATCACGAAACTAACATCATCTTAATAGCGAAACGCTATCTACATCCCTGCAGCTCGACGAAATCAAAATCGTCTTCGATAGTGCGGTAACAGCGTCAGTCTAGTCAAGGATCTTTGCATATTAAATCGCTAAACCGCGATTGTAATCTGATTCCGGCGGCTTAAATCAGATTTCTGATGCATCGCCTAAAACGAAAGTCACTATATCAGCCTACTGATATATGCGTTAAATCGCTATTTCGAGATACATCGATTTATCACCCAGTTCTTACTATGCTCCAATTAAAAAAAAGTTTTGTACAAATATAAAAGGTATACATATTAGAAAATAGATATCTAAATAAAAGTCTAATTACAATAAAATATTAATGTTAATTGAAGGAAAAAAAATTAAAAATATCAAAACTGCGCCTCAGAGAGAGCATATAACAAGTACTTTATTAAATCCAATGGAAATTTAAATTTATGGCTCTTTGGAAATAAATGATTGTATAAAAGTTTGCTTTCCTTTATTAACGTTCATTTTTGCGAAAAAACTTCGCCAAGATAAAAAAAAATCTCATAATAGTCGCCTATTCCTGAAAATAGTTGCTTTTTTTGGCTTTTAAGTTTGCTTTCTTTTATTAACGTTCTGAAAAGTAACGAAAAAACTTCGCCAAGAGTAAAAAAAAAAGTCTTCTAATAGTCGCCTATTCCTGAAAATAGTTGCTTTTTTTAACCTTTTCAGGCAAAAAAAGTCGCCATAGGCCCTAAGGCTGAAAATAGTAGCAAATAGTTGCATTTTAGTAGCCTGTGGCAACCCTGTGACAATATGCCGAAATAGATTGGGGTTGAATTAATTGTGAAAACGTTGAATAGAATAATGTGAACTGTGACTTTTTGCATAATTCGAAGTGAAGATCAACATAGCAAAGGAAAAATATTATTTCGAAAGAGGGAAAATTAAGCACATTTTAAAAACACCCAATGAAAAAAGCATCTTTAAGGGTTTTTAAAAATAGAAAATAAGCACCTTTTAAAAACGCTACGCACCCTGATATAACGAACTTATTATCGGGATTTAGCGACTTCGTTAAATACAGGGCCGACTGTATTTCTATCCACATTGAATATTTTCAAAACAAGTAGTGATGAATAGTAAAAGGGGAACTGCTAAAAGAGATGATCATAACCAAAGGAATAGAAACAACACAAAGGACTCACGTTATGTCTTCGACGAACGAATACAGATGATCCAAGTGATCCAACATTTTTTGCGTCCCCTTGGAGACAACAAGACTGGGAGGCTTCAGTAATGGCAGAACGTCCGGATGATCGGCACTCTCGCTGACCGAAGTCTCCAGTAGCAAATGAGATTCCACCTGGTCCCACCGATGAGGATTTCTACTATATTCAGGTTCTTTGGGCTGCCATTGCCTCTCAAGTAGCCTTGAAAAAAATCAAATAATTTAATACCTTACAATGAGCAATAATTGAAGTCCTGGGAGTCACAGTAACTTTGCAACAATTTTTTTTAAATAAAGGTATAATCATTCATTTTGTGGATGCTTTACATGCTCATTTAACTTATAATCAACACTTTATCTTAAAAAAATAATAAAATTTTTAAATTCCTAAAACTTTTTTATTTTAACATATTTAAAATTTTTTTTTTTCTCTTAGTGCTTACGATATTCATCTTAACAATTTTGTGCATTCATTTGCTGAAATATCAATTAGAATATTTTTTATTGATTATTTTGTAAAAAAAGTAAAAAAAAAAGGCTAAAAATTCTTATTAGGTATATATAACATGATGTAAAAATTGTAGTACCTTATAAAATGCTTATTCCACGCACAGTTTAAATAAGTGCATTATACTTAAGTTTACTTCAGAGCTTTATCTTAAATAGAAAAAACTCCTTAGGGATTTAATTAAGATTAAAACACAAAATTATCATCAATGAGAAAAAGCACTTTAAATTCTGCCTGCTGAGCAAGTTTCTGTATTAGGACAATCTAAAATAATTCGTAACTTTTTTAAAAATGCAGATAGAAAGATGATTTTTTTCCCAGTGCATTTGAAATAGTTTGAAGTTTTATTATAACCAAAAAAATTTTTCTCTTGATATTTTGGGTACTGCGACCCCTTAAAGTTCAAAGTTGAACCTCATTAAACAAAATATCGCTTAACATGATACACATGTTTTGTCCTGTGAGTCATCAATCAATTATTATTGTATTTTACATGTTTAACATGAAATTTTAAAGCTGCTTATCATTTAACATGAAAGGAAGCTGGATACACAGGGTATCTGCTACATTTTAGATTTTCAAATTCATGACTTTCCATGATTAATTCCATGAATTTTTCATGACTTAACGAAGTCACTATTTTCTCTGACAATAACACAACAATAAATTTAAAAACGCATTATAATAACATTCATTGAAATGAAAGGTATAATCAAAACTGTTATTCATTGCATCTTCATAATTACAGATTTTAAATTTACAAAATAGAGTAAAGAAAGAGTTGAAGCAATAAAATAGCTGAAAAAAATACAAAAGTAAATATTTTTTTCTGCAGAATTATGTTCTAAAGATACTTTTCCTGTTCATCGGAAAGGAAAGAAATACTCCTGACTTTTCTGCTCTCATTTCCGAATTAAATTTTTTTGTTGCCAATAAGTGGCTTGCTTCTCAGGGCTTCAAGTGGCAAAACATGGTTTTGGAGTATCTTTGGAGCAACAAAAAAGCAATTTTGGAGCAGCGAAACAAAGATTTGGAGCATATTTAATAAAAAGAATTAANCACAGAAGTTTAAAAGATAATTCGCTCAAGAAATGTTTTTTTCTTTCATTTTCTGAAAGAACACCATAATTTTTAAAAAACATCATAAAAACATTTTATTTTTCAATAAAATATGACTGTGAGTGGGGATTTTGTTAGAAATTGAGATATTCGGAACACCATAAAATTGGGGGTGGGGGGTAAATTCCATTTTAAAAATTAGATTTTTCGGCAACCAAAATCCATGACTTTCCAGGTGCGCAGATACCCTGAAAATAATTGAAGCGGGGGCTCAGAAGTCCAGCTTTTACAACAGATAAAGTATAACTTTTTAGAGTAACTGAGAGAGCATTACTGTAAAATGGTCCTTCTGGTTTGTTGATGAATGTTCTGAGTCTGGTGAGATTCGTATTGAAGAATGTCCGTCTGGCTGTGGAGGAGAAGATTCACGCCCATTCTTATGCCATTTATCTAGAACATAAGAATCTGTGAATTAATAACATTTCAGTGAATCCTAAATTAATTTGCTTCAATCGCTTCTCCGATTATCCTGTGTTAACTCGGGTACGCATATATTGCAAAGATAAATCCACTGTTCCTTTTAATTCAATTGTTTTTGTGAGTTTTTAAAATATTGATTTGATATTTTCTACTTGTAGAGCACAAATACATCAAAACTGTTATTAAATGCAATATTTTTTTTTAATGCAATTGCATTGTAACAAAATAATTTGGGTTAATGTTGAAATTCTTAATGTCGGTATAACGGATCTTCATCATTGTGTAGCAATTGCTTGGGTCTCCAGGAATGGACAATTGCAGCATCTCTTAAATTTTCCAAATTATAGTCATTACTTCTTAAGATTGATTTCCTGATTACGAAAATATAATTTTTAACTCTGACAAATAAATATTTATTTAATTATTAATATTTTAATTTGAGCGAAAACGCCCTCACTCGAAAACGACCGCTGATTGGTGTGACGTCATTAGAGCCTTACTCCTCACGACCTTCCCNATTATCCTGAGTTAACTCGGGTAATTATACATTGCAAATATTTATTATCCTGAGTTAACTCGGGTAATTATACATTGCAAATATTTATTATCCTGAGTTAACTCGGGTAATTATACATTGCAAATATTTATTATACCGAGTAAACTCGGGCATAGCACAATTCGTCAATACCTTTTGTTTTATCACATTTTTATTTGTCCGGCAGCAAAACGAAAAGTAATAACAATCTGCTGTTATTGGAAATTTGCCAATATTTGTTTAGGAGTTTCGCAATTTGCGAGACTGCAAACTTGTTTCGAACAATTGTATATACGATGGTTGATGAATTTACATAGAAAAAAAAGAGAAAGAAAAAAAAAGGCGTTCGTGAGCGAAAGTAATGCAGATGATTTTTCAGATGATGAAGATGCAAACATAAACAAAGACTCATACTTAACTTTTTTCATTTGCCCCGAGATAATTTGGGATAGTAAACTGATGGTAGATTAAAAATTTTTTACACATAAAAAAATTCAAATTTCAATTTAGAACTTGTGTGTTATATTTTATTTTAGTTCCTTGTATTTATTAATAAAATTAAAAAATATGTTGATTTTTTGCAATTTTGTTGATTTTTCCCCTCCAAAAAATTGGCAATAAGAAGAAAACTTGTTTAATAACGTGAGGAAACTCACCTCGCTAATGTCCTCCATTGATATTTGAATGTCAAATGGCAATTCTATATCGTGATCAGGGTATATAGGGTCTCCATTACGAGGATCATGACCCAAGCCACAAAGAACTCCTGTGTATCTACTCCTCTCACGATTGATCCTGTTCGTAGAAAAAGAAGGCGATAAAACATACATCCATGTAAACACAGGGTATCTGCTACATTTTAGATTTGATGCATTTAGGTGCGCAGATACCCTGTAAATAAGTTATATACTCAGTAACAGACGCATACTCTACAGCAGTGATTCTTAATCTTTTTTTTTTGTCGCAGCACAAAATAAAAAAATAAGTTCAAAAATTTCTTTACACAAAAAATAAAATAAATAACTACAGAATGTTCTGAAATTATTTTTTCTCTAAATACATACATTTTTCAAGCTCTAAGCAAAATGATTGATTTAAAAATGTTCTATATGAAATTAAATTGTTACTAAAAAAATTAAAACTGAGATGCTTACCTCAAAAAAATAAATAAAATTTAAAAAAAATATATTAAAACTTCATCGATCAATTTTAAGTTATAATATAAATAGCTTAAAGTACAGCATAGTTTCAAAAATTGAGAATTTTTTTTGTAAGACCCAATTGAGAAATGTTTCTATATATTTGTGCAAGATAACCTGATTTGTTAAAGTTAACTTTAATTATTATTCTTTCCATTTTCTATTATTAGTGTGAATTTTTTTAAAAAAAAAACTGTACTTTGTTACAGATTACCTTACCACGGTTGAAAATTTCAAATGATGTTGCCTTTCATTTAACAGTCTATGTCTTATTGAAAACTGATATTTATCAGTTAAAAATCATTATTTCTAAATCTTCAATTTTTTACCATGGAAATGATACCTAGTTTACTTTAATATTAAGTTTAAAATTTTGGTCATCTGATCACCCAACTTGAAACCTGTCCCTGTACATTGCAGAACAAAAAAACTAAGTTTTGTTTTCCTTCTTTCTAATAAACAAATATAAATACTTTTTTTTCTCCATTCTAAGTTTATATATCATTTAATATTTTTTCCATAAATTCCATGGTTTTTGTCAGCTTTTTAGGGAAAAAGGAGAAACAATTTCGGAAGTTTCAAAATAAAAATTATCATGAAATCCAGAAAATCAGCATCAATGGAATAATTTTTACAATTTTTCAGTGGACAAAAGCTTTCAGAAAAAGAGTGCAAGAGATTTACACCNCAGCTTTTTAGGGAAAAAGGAGAAACAATTTCGGAAGTTTCAAAATAAAAATTATCATGAAATCCAGAAAATCAGCATCAATGCAATAATTTTTACAATTTTTCATTGGACAAAAGCTTTCAGAAAAAGAGTGCAAGATAAAATCTCTAATTAAATTATAACTAATTATTTTTTGGAGAATTTTATTAAGTTAAAAATACTAAAACATTTTGAATAATTTTGTTAAAAGAAAAAAATACCCCTGAAGCATCGGAACAAACTTCAACAATTAAGGAATTCAGCCCACAGACTAAAAGATTTTTTAAAAAAAAATGCTACTTTTATAAACAGCAGCAAATATCCTAATTCTTTCTTCCACATTTTTGCCTTTCTTAAACTGCAAAGTCCCATAATCTCCAAAGAGGTCAAAGATTTCTCCCAACATAAAAGAGTTTGAAATGCCATTCTAGTTTAGCAGGGTAATAATGAAGAGAATTTTAATGCAAGAAAGGTATTGCTGAGTTGTTGATATTTCAACTTCTTTACTATAAATTTATGTCTAAATAAAAGTTGATATAATGGATGGTAAAATAATTTAAATTAAGAGAAAAATTCTAGCTTTTCTTTGAAATTCCATAATTTTTCCAGGTTTTTATACAAATTTCACCGACTTTTCCAGGTTTTTCCAGTATAAAAAAATTCACTGATAATGCCTTTTAGACCTGCTGGAACAAGAAGGCCATAGTTGAGACGGGCCGATTCGGTGGAGTCTGATTTTTCTAGCCATTAATGAAAAGAATTGGAGATCAAAGATAAAACGGAAGTCGTCATGGAGAAATTTTTAGAGGAAGGCATTGGCCCACATTGGGCTGTGTCTCACCAACTATGATGACAAATTAAAAAAAGCACAAACTGCTGCCAGTTTTGTGTCAAGATACCTGATTTCTGCGAATGGTGAGAAGAGTAGGCAGACGAGTGAAGGGAGGCCACGCATTTTAGGCATGAGTGTAGTGTTTCTGGCAATCAGGTCGTGACTACTCTGTCCCACGCCCAGGCATGCAGCTACCAGCATCGCAGAATAAGGTTCCTGAGGATCTGGGTTGAAAGACACGGAATTCACACTATCACGCTCCACTTTCATGCTTCTGTATTACAATTGAAAGAAAATACATTTATATTTATCTATTAGAATAAAATACATTTAACAGAATGTTAATAGAGCAATGACTAACAGCTATATCTATTTAATATAATGCATAGCTGCCAACATAGATAGGCAAAAATCCAGTAGATTTTACGAAATAATATAAATTTCATGATAACTGTTGCAAAATGTGCTAAATAATTTACACACAGGGAATTTTAGGGATTTTTATAGACATGAAAATAGAAAAACTGCAATATTTTCCGGTCATGATTGGCATTAAATATGCTTGAGATGTTGTGAATTACGTTTACTCGTAATTTTGAATAGGCATAAAATTCATAAGAAATAATTAAGATTTTTTAAAATTAATTTAAAAAAGGTAGTTCTGAATAATAATAAGCTGAACATTTTAGAACAAAATTTTTTTTAACTGATTTCTATAAATAAGGGTCGCTTCATTATATATTAGTAATACTTATTTAAATATTTAAGCAATAATCTGGGCAAAAATTATATTTCAAAAGAGATTTTTTCTAGGAAACTTACTCAATTTTAGGGAATTTTCTAAAATGTACAAAAACCAGGAGTATTTTTATTAAACCAGTAGACCAGGAAAAGCTGGAAAAAAACCAGTAGTCTACTGGAAAATTTAGTAGAGTTGGCATAAGATTAACATAGAACGCAGATGGATCTTCAACATTTTTTTTTGTAAGCAGAATCCTGAGCAAGTTCATTATTGAAAATGGCGAACATGCAAAAAAAACATTCTGCGTGTTAACCAGGGTTTGAGATATTTTTGATTTAAATCAGACTTTTTTGATTTTTATTCAAATACACTGTAAGAAATTTGATTTATGATTAAAATAACTTTATTAATGTTTAATCAAAATTAAATTATTATTAAAACTCTATTATAACAATATTTAAAAGCTCTAACTACCTAAAATTTTTTTTTCATTATAATACATAGTTTTGAATGCATAGCAACCATTTTGAAACAAATGCAGGATTGAAATTTAAAGACTAAATGTAAAAGAGAATTTAAACCCTATTTTTGGGTTTAAATTCTCTATTTCATTTAGTCTACATTTTATATACATTTTGCGTGTTAACCAGGGTTTGTGATTTTTTAAAGGAAAAAAAAATCAGATTTTTTTGATTGAAATCAGGTTTTTTTTTAAAAATTCAAATACATTGTAAGAACTTTAATTTATGATTAAAAAAAACTTTATGAATGTTCAATAAAAATTAAATTAATATTATATTATAACAATATTTAAGAAGCTTTAACTACCTAAAACAATTTTTTTATTATAATACATAGCTTTGAATGCACAGCAACTATTCTGAAACAAATGCAGGATTAAAATTTAAAGACTAAATGAAATAGAGAATTAAAACCCTATTTTTGGTATATTAGAGTAATTTCATTCTAAGATAACCTCAAGCTTTAGAAATATGCATTTTCCACCCATAAAATATAATGTAGATTTTAATTCCATGCTTTTTCAATCAAAAGGTAGAATTTTAATTAATATTTGCNAGCAGGAAAACAGACACAGGATTTTAATGAAAGCAAAATTAGTTTATTTGATCATTTTCAAATGGATGACGAGCGAAAAGTTAAGTTAACTCCATCGACAATCAGTCTTTTTGGTAGGGAAAATCTTGCAAAAAATCCGAAAATGCCTCTATTTAGGGAAAAGAGGGAAATCTTAGAAATTACTTTTGGTTTATGAAAAAAAAAAGGAAAAGAGAGAATTGCAATACTACTGAGGGGAAAAAATAAACGAATTGTTTAGAAGGAAGGGATTTATAAAATCAAAACATTAGATTTAATTAGTGTGGTTTTAGAAGGGGTTATAGTTCTCAACGTTTGATAAATATGTAATGTCTTGTATTAAATTATATTTTTTCTCTTTAAAGATACATTTTGTTATGTGTTACAGATTTCAAAAGATGTCAAAAATGCTATAATATCCTTTCGTTAAAAAATCCAAAAATGTCTCTATTTAGGGAAAAGAGGGATGTTTCAGAAATTACTATTGGTTCATCAAATAGGTCGAGTGATTCTCACGAAGATTAAAGGGGAAAATGTCTTTACTTATAATCATGCATACTTGAGCCAAAAATAGATTTAGGAAAAGGATGTGGCTTTTTAAAAGTATGAGAAAGTGTTTCGATTTGAAAAATTAATTGGGAGTTGTTTTATAGCAGAGAAAATAAGATAAAAAGATTAATAGAAGCTTTTTATGTTACATACGTACATATAAATCAGTTGATTTAAATCAAACTAATTTAAATCAACAAACCTGTTAACAATTGTTATTCTGGACTCGCAAGTTTTTCATCAAACATGTAAAATGATTGGTCCAATGAATCATAGTCCAACGGTACGCCTAAATGGATTGTGGTTGAATGAATTGTGAAAACGTTGAGTAGAACAATGTGAAAAGAACGCTTTTGCATAATACATGGCGAAAATAGACATGGAAAAGAAAAAATATCATTTTCGAAAAGGAAAAATGAAGCACTTTTTAAAAACACCCCATAAAAATGCACCTTTACGGGCTTTTAAAATACTGAAAATCGAAAATAAGCACCTTTACACACTTTTTAAAAACACTACGTACCATGAATATATTAAGAGAAAATATACAATCATTGTGCTCTAGTCCGAAATTATAAAACAATTTGTCATAATAAATAAAGGATAATGAAACTGAGTAACTAAAGTGGATTAAAAAAATTCCAACATTCCAAAACTCTTGAGGCATAACTCTTAAGGTTTCAAGTTCCTGAATTGGAACATCCAATTGACAACACTCAGAAACGATTAAGAAAAATAGAAGAACTTTGAAGATGCACTTAATGATGGTCGGTTTGAAAAAAAATTGGATATTTTTTAATCCCCAATTGCTCAAATTACGATATTATGAAAAATGGCGGAATTCTCTGACAATGATAATTCTCAGGGCTTACAAATCCAACATTTTACTTTTAGACACTATCTGTTTTCAATTTTTGAATTTTCAATTCAGATTCTAAATTTAACAGGATCCAAGTTTAGAAAAAGATTTATACTTGTTTTTTATTTCATTTCGTTTTATTATTAGTGGTAAAACTTTGTAGCGTTTTTAATTGAATGTTACTATTTTTTAACATTTAAGCTGCTTTTTTAAATAGTGCGCTAAAAAACCCCAAAAAAACAGATGACTCAAATTTGGATTCTATTAAATGTTTTATAAGTCTCTTTGGAATCATTTAATTGCACCAACAATAGAAGTATTTTTGGAGGAATTAAAAAAAATGGTGTGTGGCTTAGAAGATCAAATCGAGAGCTTTATCACTTATATAACGAACCTGACATCATTAACTTTATTAGACGACAAAGAATAAAATGGGCAGGTCACCTTATCAGAATGGACGAAGACCGTATCACAAAAAGAGTTTTCAAGGCTAGACCAGTTGGCACATGAAAAAGAGGCAGGCTGAATTTGAGACGGATAGATGGCCTAGAGAAAAACCTTTTGGTCTTAAAAACTAAAAATTGGAAAACACTTGCAAAAAAAAGGTTAGCCTGGAAAAAACTTCTTGAGAAGGCCAAAGCCCACCCTGGGCTGCCGAGCCATTGATGATGATGAATAATAAAAATTTATACATATTTATTTGGACGAATTATGAATTTTAGAAGTAGTAGTCCAGACAAAGCTTGATGGTTTTTGTACTTTTTCTCCCACTAGCAACAGTCAATTATGTTTATAATTTACTAAATTACAATTTAAAAAATTCTTCCGATAATTTTTTAAATGATTAAATTCAGCAGAACTATTTTTCTACTTTATAATCGAATAATGAATGGCCGTATTTTAACCGTTCACATATTTCCACTTCACTTTTTTATTAGTAAAGTAAGGGGATATATTTTTCTTTTTATTTCCCTTTCTTCTGTTCACTGATATGCACGAGCAATGCATTTCATCTCCTCGGAAATCAAAGAGAAAACGAAACCAGCCTGCAACTCCTTTATGTTTAATTGACAGCAGCTTATCGGAAAACGATTCCTTCGCACACACGGGAGAAAATAAAACATTTATCCCTTTTCTGCCCCCTCTCCATTTAAAGATCTTCAAGGTTACGAATATTGAAGTTCTTCTCTCGACAATGGGGAGAAAAATACCCCCCCACACATTCTCCTCTAGTGAACTTCAAGGATGAGTCAAATTTCGGCTTTTTTCCTCAATTTTTCCAGTTAACAAAATGGTGGGAAAATGGAACAAAATGTTTTCCCGTTTTCTGAATACCGGATAAATGGTTCTATACTGTAGTTTAGTACAGATGAAATATCTTCCATAAGTATCCCCATCAGGGTGCATAACCAGATTTTTCAACACAAAATAAGCACCTTTTAAGTACTTTTTAAGCACTCAAAAAATATTTTTAATCACTTTTCAAAAAAAAAAAAATAAAAATCACAATTACGGTCAGTGCAGTAATTAAAATAATTTTTTCTATCGTTTAAAGTTCGTAATTTACAAACATAAAATCAATAAAATTCAAAAACATTATCATTAAACATTATCATATAATCGTGATAAAATAACTAAATTCCGATAAAACAAAATTCAGAGAAATTATAAAAATCATGCATTTTTTTTGTAATTTAGAAAGACAGTTGACATGGCGAAGATAGAAAAGAAAATACAAAAGATAGAAAATTAAGCACTTTTTACAAACCACGAATATAAAAAAGCACCTTTAAGGGCTTTTATAAAATATATATCGAAAATAAGCACCTTTAAGCACTTTTTAAAAACGCAACGCACCCTGTCCCATAGATTGCACTTTGAGTAGACACAATTTTGAAAAAAGACGAAACCAAAAAAAAAACAACATATTTCCTGGATTTTTCCTGTTTGTTTTGGTAACATTTAAATACCCTGTATTTTCCAGGCTTTCTCTGTTCTCCCTTCCCTGTGAAGTGGCAATAGTTCAAACAGACATTAAAATAAAATTGAGTTTTGGTTAAAGAATGTATTTATAAATTATATTTAAAAAACATCAAAGTGTTAATATGTAACATTACATTGATAATGGTAGAAGCAAACTTACTTGCTACGATCTACAAAAGTCATACCACTGTATTCAACTTCCAGAGGATTATAGGGTCCGTGTAGTTTTATCTAAAAATAGCCACAAAAAACTCTATTTGAAATAGATAAAGACAAAAAAATTTCTTCATTTTAAATAAAATTGTTTATGGGAAAGTGGTGGTGTTGATCTTTCAGTTTACATAATATACTTGCAAAGTAACACTAACAAGGGTCTGTTTAGAAGAAATTTGGGTTCGTTGACGGACCCCTCACAAAATATCTTTTCATAAAAACGGACCCTTCACAAAATGATTTGTCTTTTAATCGGATCCTTTAAAATTTTTTTATCTTCATTACTGTTTTGTTAATCGAATAAACCCTTCCCAGGGCAGAAAACAAGAAAGATGGATGTAAACGAATTAAGTTTTGTCTTCGGCAGACGATTCTTCCATTATTTGTCCGAAATTAATATTCTGCGTTCAGCAGTATAGGCTAAATACCAAATATTTGTATGTTGCATCTCTAATTTGGAAGCAGCAATTGCCGTTTATATTTGAAAATTTAATTTTTTTTCTTTATAATTTTACAGTGCTGAGCATAATCTTGTATCTATTTACAATTTAAAAACTCCTTGAAAAAGTTTTATGCAATAATCGGACCCTATTTGAACAAATTCATAAAAGCAGGACCCTGGTTGAAAGAATGTGAGTAATTTTTTTCACAATTTCACAAAAACTGGACCTTTCACAGAATATTTGGACAGACCCCTGACTAAGGAAAATTAATGTGGTATAATTGTACAGTGAATAATAAAAATTGTAACTCTACACTACCTTCATCTAATTTTCAGAAATCTTTCTTACTAATATCGAAATCTAATGATCCAAAAGCGAATAATAGAATAGAATAATATAATAATAAATAGAATTTATTTGTATTTATAGCTTTCATTTTTTTTAGAAAAAAAAATGATAAGTTAAAGTTCTATAGACATACATTATTTAACAAAAATTTTGATTGAAATAAATATATTACTGTCATGTCTTCTTTAACATTATAATTTCAGTTATTTTTATTATTTTTCTTCTTTTTGTTCTTAAACTTACATCTTCTGAATTGCTACATACTGCAAAATGCTTGAATTAGTAATTTACAATTATTTTATACTTATATACTCTATAACCTTTTGTTTTTATTCGGCATTAAAAGAAAATTTTATCAACAAAAAAAAAGTTATAGAACATTTGCAAGCCAGTGTTATTATAAGTATTTAAATTTTCATGAAGTCATCACATAGATTAAAGACATAATAATGTATACAAAAGAGAGGCGATTCAAAGTAACTCACTTTTCTGCTTAAAGTNTATATCACGATATATAATTTCTAATATCGCCCAGTCCTAGTCATCACATAGATTAAAGACATAATAATGTATACAAAAGAGAGGCGATTCAAAGTAACTCACTTTTCTGCTTAACGTGTGGACATCGTGCGTGTTTTCGGACTTCCAAGAGACTTGAACATCGTTTGATACATTTTCAAACACTGATCCTTCCATGTTGCCATAGAGACTTGCCTTCTCTCTCACCTCATGATTTTGCTGCACATGTGGAAGGAGACAATAATTAGTGATCAGAAAGTTTAAAACAGCCAAAATTTTCAACAAAAAATTAGCACTTTTTAAGCACTCAAAGAATATTTTTTAGCACTCGAAAAAATATAATAATTAAGATACATGCACTAATAAAATTTTTTTTCTTCCTATTGCTGAAAGTTTCTCATGCAACAAAACATTATCAAAATGCAAGATAATTTTCAAAGACTTTACATGATTACAGGGTTCATACAGAGATCAGAAGAAGAAATCCAAGGAGTATCCAAACAGTTCAAAATTTTAAGGATTTATCAAAAATTAAAAAACTTGGTATAAAAAGTAACTGGACAGTTTAAAAAAAAAAAAAAAAAATTAAAAAGAAGTTATTATAAGGAACTTGCAAAAATTTATAGTTTGCATATTTTTTCTAGCTCTTTTGAAATAAATTTTGACTTTGTCAAACTTCAAGAAAAATAAAGCTATCAGTTTTACCCATAAATACATTTTCCAGTTTCAAATACTTTAATTAAAGTACAGATGTTAAAGATTAACATAAAAGCCTACCAATCTTATATTTTTAACTTTGAATACATAAGAAAATCTAAGGCATTTTATACAAAAAAAAAAAAAAAACCACAGTAAATTATTAATTAAGTTTGCTTGTAACATGCAAAATTATAATTATTTCTTTCTTCTAAGTCTTGCAACAAATTTTTTCTTTTCTTTTAAAGGTTTTCTTAAACTATTAGATTTTAACAGTTAAGTCATAAAATTTAGTTTCCCTGTTTGGACAAAAAATTCATCAGCATACTTAGTAAGTTCATCTATGCAACACAATAATCTAAGGAGTTTCTAAGGACTAATTTAGAAATCTAAGTAGTTCCAAGTACTCCTTGGAGACTTTTTTATTTCCAAGGAGTATAAGGTGTCTGTACGCACCCTGTGATTATGATAAAATAGCTTGTTTCTGACTAAGAACTCTTTATTTTATTACATTAGCCACCAAATTATACACAATTTGAAATACATTCAATATGAAATTGGCTCATTCTATATTTTTAAATTAATTATTTTATTTAATCATAAAAAAAATTTAATTCAAAATTATAATCCAGGGGTCTGTTCAGGCCAAATTTACTACCGTTTACTAAATACTTTTTATTAAAATTTTATTTTTGTATCCCATAAGAAATGATAAATCCATATTTTTACCACATTTTTGTGTTGATTTTTAATATAATTTTTAACTTTCACAAATTATGTCTAAAATTTTCTCAAAATAGGTACCTTTCAGAAAAACCTAGGCAGACCCCCAATATATATATATGTATATATATATACATGTCACATTCGGCCCCATTATAAACTTAATCAATAAAATACTGAAAATATTCTTTACTCCATGGTTTCGTTAAAAAAATATGCCTTTTCTGCTGATTCTTGGGTTTTCTCGAAAGTCTTAGGTCAGTGATTCTCAAGCATTTTCTTTTGGTGCGGCATACTTTTAATGATTTCGAAATTTGACGAAACACAAGGAAAAAAATTAATTTAAAAGTTTTTTATTTATTCACAAAATAGGTACCTCTCAGAAAAAGCTAGATAGACCTCTGTAATTAATTCAACTATAATTTGAAAAAAGGTTATCGAGTGTATTTTTTAGATTTAAAAAGTTGTTTAGAAAAGCATGTTCAACAAAACATTCAAAAGATTAATATTATTGATCTTTGTAAATCTCTTGTAAAATGCAGCAGAGTTGCAGAAGAGGGCGCAAGAATCCAGCTCAATATATGCACACGCGAAATAGCACGTATTTCCTGAAACATGTAAAATGATTGGCACTTTCAAACGCTACAGACCAATGGCACGCCGAAATGGATTGCAGTTGATTGAATTGTGAAAACAATGAACAGAACAAAGAGGAAAACATGTTTTTTGAATAATTTGTAGCCGAAATTGAAGAAAAATCTCATTTTAGAAAAGGGAAAATTATACATTTTTTAAAAAACACCAAATGAAAAAAATGCACCTTTAAGCGCTTCAAAAAACAAAAATTAGCACCTGTAAGTACTTTTTAAAAAGGTTACACACATTAGCAGTTTTTTTTACTTGCTCGATTCAAGACAATTTCACTATGAATCTATATTAGCTTTTGATAGCTTTTTCAACAGTTACTTTTCCAGGGGTGATTGTGAGCCCAAGTCAAAATTCCGGAAAATTCATTGAGTTAAAAAAAAAGAAAAGAACAGGTTAATTGAAAAAAATTTAAACAAGTTTTTTTCTTCCTTTTTCTCACTATTTCTCAGTTCACTTAAAAATATTTAAAATTTTACACATACCTGGAGAAGTATTTAAAATTTACAAATATGTTTCTTTCTTGAGTTTATGATTACAACTTCTATTAATCATGAATATGAGCTTATAAAGTAACTCTCTGGCTCTCCCTTACAAACAAATAAAATAAACTGTGTTTTTAAGTTCTACATTTGAAAATTTGATTTCCGGAAACTTCTGTGATCAATGATTTTTTTAAACGTCTGGACCTTCGATCTCCGGAAACTTCCGGATCACTGTTAGCGAAAATTCCAGAAATCCGGAGCACAATCAGCCCTGCTTTTCGTATTTTAGGTTATTTCCACATAAATATGGTTGTCACCCAAATATGGAAAGAAAAATTCCCTGTGTTTTCTCTGTACATATTATACACAATATATTAAGAGGAAACACACTATCAATGCGCTTTTGTGTGAGCTATATTGGGATAACTATATTTATTAGTTTTAATTGCTGGAAAAACAGCTGAACATACTTAAATAATGCTATAGTAAATGAAATAGTTTAGTATAGCAGAAATATCATAGTTAAATATCCCATAGAATACGCTTTGAGGAGTCACCATTTCATAAAAGACAAAAATAAGAAACAAAATTCCTTGTTTTCCCAGTCTGTAAAGAAAAAATCGTAACCCCTGGTTCCCTGTTATTTTAGGCGATTTTTAAATTTCCTGTATTTCCCAGGTTTTTCCTGTGGAGTGGCAACCCTGCCATAGTTTTAAAAATTCAGATATTTTTAATGCATTACCATTACTAGGAATGGTCAATACATCATTTCATAGCAAAATATCGATGTTATAGCCAACCTGATAAAAAATATCCGATCCGATGTTCGGACTGGTAATTTTTCGAAGCATCGAAAATTATTATTTACCAGGATATGTGCGATGTTTCGTGATGCATCGTTGTCTATATGAGTGTTATTTCAGATAGTACAATGATGGTTTTAAGTGCATGGGATGAGCGCTTCTCCCGACCGTGAAATGGATGACCGCTATCTCGTGAAAAAAGAGCTTTTTTTCTTTTTTTATTATTGACAGTAATGAACAAAATTTAAGATAGGGGTGACAGGGAAGTTATGTGCATTTTAGTGCCAGCTGTTCCTAAGTTTTCAATCTTTCTCAATTCATCAGCAAAAGTTTTAATATTTCTGTTAATGATGAAAATTTTTATGAGTGACCACAATGTGCATTTTTATATTCATAATTACTTATTTAATGACATAGACAGTGACTGACTGATTGTGCCCCCCCCCTTCCAGCACAAGTTACTTAATTTTTCAAATTTATTTTCAATGCATCGCTTATTACAAGAATATAATTGCTTCAATTTATCAATCATAAAATGCAAGAATTCGAAATTACACAATACCAAATGCAAAATATTAGTGTAATGAAACATGGAAATGTATTGTTATATCGCAATGTTAGAGTGAAGATACCAAAATCTTAAAATTGCCCAGTCATTATTACATTACGCACCATTTTAAAATTAAGCTTATTTAAAAGGATAAAAAGTATGCATCTAACTGAAGAGTTATGTTCCAATTAAACTCTTTCACTATAAAAAAGTGACAAAATTAAGAACTTTGTATATATTGGGTTTCTTAAAAGCTATGCAAATTTTTGTGAAATACAATATGCCTTTTTGTGATTTGTAACCTTTTTTGGAGGGATATAGTGCCTTTTTAAATTTTTTTGTGGCCTGCCTTTTTTTTATGTCCAGAATAAACTCAGAAAAAGTGTTCTACTACTATTAAAATTATATCTGAGTTGTTTTGGCAACTAAGAAAAAATATTTTTGGACCATCGAACCCCGACTGTTACATTTTAAATTTGATTCCAGTGAACATTAGATGAACATTATTCATAGATGTTGCATAATGTACTAAATTTTAACACATAAGGAATTTCAGGGATTTTTATAATCATCAAAATAGAAAAACTGCNTGATCGGTGGCGTGCCCAAAATATTGTGTCGGGTGCCATAAATGGCACGCGTGCCATTGGTTCGCCATCCCTGTTATATCGCAATGTTAGAGTGACGATACCAAAATCTTAAAATTGCCCAGTCCTAACTATTACATTACGCACCATTTTAAAATTAAGCTTATTTAAAAGGATAAAAAGTATGCATCTAACTGAAGAGTTATTTTCCAATTAAACTCTTTCACTATAAAAAAGGGACAAAATTAAGAACTTTGTATATATTGGGTTTCTTAAAAGCTATGCAAATTTTTGTGAAATACAATATGCCTTTTTGTGATTTGTAACCTTTTTTGGAGGGATATAGTACCTTTTTCAATTTTTTTGTGGCCTGCCTTTTTTTAATGTCCAGAATAAACTCAGAAAAAGTGTTTTACTACTATTAAAATTATATCTGAGTTGTTTTGGCAACTAAGAAAAAATATTTTTGGGCCATCGAAGCCCGACTGTTACATTTTAATTTTGATTCCAGTGAACATTAGATGAACATTATTCATAGATGTTGCATAATGTACTAAATTTTAACACATAAGGAATTTCAGGGATTTTTATAATTATCAAAATAGAAAAACTGTAATATTTTCCAGTCATGATTGATAATAAATGAACTTGAAATGTTATGCATAATCACTCATAATTTTGAATAGTAATAGGTATTTAATTTATCAAATATATTTAACGATTCTTTTAAATTGATTTCAAAAAGCATTACTGAGGGGGTGAAAACCCAAACATTTTATAACAAAAAAAAAAAACAAAAAAATTTGAATTGATTTTTATAAATGAGATTCACTTCATTGTGTACTTGCAATACTTATTTAAATATTCTAGTAAGCAAGCAATAATCTGTACAATAATTGAAATATTTCAATAGGAACTTTTTTTTTTAAAGAAATTTACTCAATTTTAGAGAAATTTGTAAAATGTACAAAAATTAGGAAAATTTTAATGAAACCAGTAGACTAGTAAAAACTGCCAAAATCAGTTAATTTTATTGAAGGGGCGAGAGTGAAAAATATTGAAACTGACTCTTCATAATGCTCTAGAATTCTTTTAAACAAACATTTACCTTTGATGCAAAACTTTCTTCTGCAGGTTCAGCAAGGCCCACTTCAACCATTTCCTTATTCAGAAAATGAATTATACCACTTCTATCTTTAACATTTAGTTCCAATTTCATGACATCATTTACAACAGAATAAATCTAAAATAACAAATCATGAGATTACAAGAGGGCATACAAAAAAAAAGTTTACGTTCATAAATATTGACATTATTTTGATTAAGAAATTAATAAAGCGTCTAACAAAGTCTTGACTTTTATAGACTTGTGTGTTAAACTTCGTCCATTCACTTCTTTTCACAACAATATATTCAATTTACTAATTCAGGGTGCCTAGCCTAATTTTTCAACAAAAAATAAGCACCTTTTAAGTATTTTTAAAGCACTCAAAAAATATTTTTAAGCACTATATACATTGACAAAAAGCTAAATAATTTTCAAAGCCTTTACATGATCATGATAAAATAACTATTTTCTGACAAAGAACTCTCTTCTTATATTAGCCATCAGAAAAGCCCCAAAGAAAAAAGCACCTTTAAGGGCTTTCAAAAAACAAAAATCGAAAATAAGCACCTTTAAGCACTTTTTAAAAATGCTACGCACCATGTAATTAGAAAAATATTATACAAATAATTCTTAAAAATCACATGCTTTAACACTATTAATAAAATAATTCAAAGTACAAGTTAAAAAATGTGATCCTGGATGTATAGAAAAATCAACAATCATTTCACAATATTTGCGTTTAATCCCGCCTCGCTCAGACCAGAGTTCAATAAAATCTAATATAAAAGCATATTGCGCCTTATAAAGTAATCGCTCTAACATTTATATCAACTCACTTTCAGTTGTTAATTTTTACCGAAATAAAATCAAAGTTAAGTGTAATTGTTCAGTTATAAAACTAATTCAAATTTTTAATTTAACTGTACATTGAACATACTAAATGTTTTGGATTGATTGTAATAATGTAAAATAAAATTTTTGTTCACAAATTTTTTTCAGGTTTAGCAAAAAAGAAACAAATAATTCGATTTTAACACTCTTTCGATTTTGTCTAAAAATGTTGAGTGCATCACTTTCTAAAGATGGAGAGGGGAGAACGTTAATTTATTTCCTTCTCTAGATAGTGAAGCACCTACATTTTTTGTTTTAGGTGTGACAAAAGAACTATTTTTTTCTTCTTAGTCAACTTAAAAAAAATATTTTATAAAAATTTTCTTTCATAAATTTAGTTTTTTCTAATTCTGGACCTGTTTGTGCTGCAAAAGGGTCAAAATTGCAATTTGAAAAAAGATTCAAAGTTATGTTTAAAGAAAGTTCTCTCAAGTTACAATAACGATAAACTTAGCTTTCAGTGGTCTGGAAGTAATAGTAACTTGTTTTTTTAATTTGAACATTAGATTTGTTAATTTGTAGATTCGAAAAAGATTCAAAGATCAGTTTAATTAAAAGTTTCATAAGTTACAATAACGATAACCTTGTCTTCCAGTAGCCCAAAAGTAATAATGACTTGTTTTGTTAATTCAAAATTTGAAGAAGGGATTCATCAATTTCGGTGATTCGAAAAAAGATTCAAAGATCAGTTTAATTAAAAGTTTCTTAAGTTACAATAACGATAACCTTAGCTTCCAGTAGCCCAAAAGTAATAATGACTTGTTTTGTTAATTCAAAATTTGAAGAAGGGATTCATCAATTTCGGTGATTCGAAAAAAGATTCAAAGATCAGTTTAATTAAAAGTTTCTTGACGGTTCACTGACGGTTCTGCACGTAAAAAGTCGCATTTTAACCTGCAGTCTTCTCTGCATAGCAAAACCGGTTTTCCCATGTTAACTGATAGGGGAACTGTGAGTAGGGGAGAAACATTCTCCCAATTTTGCCCATTTCCTTAACCGCCAGAGGGTTAAGTTACAATAACGATAACCTTAGCTTCCAGTAGTCCGGAAGTAATAATTACTTGTTTTGTTAATTCAAAATTTGAAGAGGGGATTTATTAATTTTGTTGATTCCAAAAAAAGATTCAAAGTTAAGTTTAATTAAAAATTAGTTTGAGTTACAATAACGGTAAACTTAGCTTTCAGTGGTTCGGAAGTAATAGTAACTCCTTTTGTTAACAGAATAGAAGTAGTTAAATATCGTTGAACTTCAGCTACTTGTGATCAAAATATTTATTGGTGATATGTCCTACTTGCCAATAAAATGTCTTATTTGTTGTCCCCGAGACCCAGAATGAAAATATTTTTCTTTATTAAATTTTTAGCAAAAATTTAAAAAAACATATCTTTGAAGACATAAAGGAACACATTATGGAAAGTTTTCATAAAAAAATTAGGTTATATTTTCATAGAATTAAAATGAGAAATCATAGCTAGTAGGTCAGGAATATTTATCGGTGATATGTCCTACTTGTCAATAAAATGTCCTATTTATTGAAATTTCTTTTAAAAATAAAACACTAGAATTGTCCAATAGCTTGGCTCTAAGGTTCACAAAATATGTTGTTAGCGTTGAAAACCCTTGAAAGAGTTCATTGAAAAGTTTTTGATTCCATTAGATCCACTGCAAAAAGCATTACGTTTTAAATTTATGTTGAATATTTTTAATTACATATAAGGAGCATCAAAATCTTTTAAGTGCTTCTAAGGTTCTGATTTGAAGAACATTAGATGCACTCTTCACACCCAAGAAGCCCTTCCAATTAGGAATAAAAGCTGCACACATTTTAAGAAGAGTAAAAATAAATAGTATTACAGGCAGATCCTGTTTCAGCAAAATCCGAAAATTCCAATGAAACGAATATATTGGGCATCTCTATAGAAACAATGGATTAATAATACCGATATTACAAAATTCATAATCTGATTCAACAAAGGTAAAAATGAACAACAATTCTCATTTTCTCTGATGATCAAAACACTTCTTCAAAAGTACACAATGATCTCAGAATTCAAATATTTTCGCATCTTCAAAATAGTTTCAGTTATGAAAGGGCAAGTCAAAAAAGACGAATCACTCTTAAGGAACCCCCCCAAAACCTCAACCCATTCATGTTTGAAGAAGTAAAAATATGTGTCTTTCCAAAAGTGTGATTTCCAGTTCTGTTTAAAAATGTGCATAATTTTGGAGAAGTTTGTAATTGCTACCGGTTCTAAACTATTTGCACAGAAGAAAAATTACAGATAACGTAATTTCTGATAGACAAGAGATAATAAATCCATTGTTCCATTTAATTGCTTTTGGGAGCTTTTAAAATATTGATTTGATATTTCCTATATATGGAGTACAAATAGATCAAAACTGTAAGCAAATGCTGATGATTTTTTTATGCGTAAATTTCTAATGTAACAAAATAATTTAGGTTATTGTGTTGCGATTGCTTCAGAACCTTAGAAATCTGCTAAAACGAGATTTGACTGTACTTGAAGCAATTTTTGATAAAAACAATTTCATCTTATCGCCTAAAAAATTCTGCATTTAGTTCAATGTTAAAAACAGCAAGTTAAATTACACAGGGTATCTGCTACGTTTCAGATTTTCAAATCCATGACTTTTCAAGAATTTTTCATGACTTAACAAAGTTATATAAAAACACAGCAATAAATTAAAAAAAAACAAAAACATTATAATAACATTAATTAAAATGAAAGGTATCACCAAAACTGTTACACTCTGCATCTTCATATTTATAGATTTTAGATATTCGAACACTGTGAAATTGGGGGGAGGGGTAAATTTTGAAAATCAAATTTTTCGTCGACCTAAATCCATGACTTTCCTTGATTTTTTAAATAAAAAAAATTGTTATAATCATGACAAATTTCGTTCAATACCGAAATTCAGGATACCCTGATTATAGGAATGATTCAGTGAATGACACATGAATCAAACAGACCTTGGCTTGAATTTGTATTCCACTGACTTTAGTTTTGAACCATTCTGTAGCTTTATCATTCCATTCACCAGTAGGACTTCTAAAAGGTTTCACTTCGGCTAAACTGCATTCTACGGCCTATTAAAAAGAAACAGACATGAATACTGAACAACACATACTATATTTAAGTAAAAAATACAAATGATCCCGTTTGAGAGATGGAGAAATTATATACTTATAATATATGACCTAATATACAGTACAAAATAAAACTAAACTCAGCGGCGCGTCAGCCCATGAGGGCCAAGGCCTACTGTGCCCATCTCAGTTTTCTTGACCTTAGGCCCTGGGGTGCAAGAGCAGATGTTCCGGTCAGGTGGTCAGCCTAACGTGGAACCCCCAGTGTTTAGTTCCCAAGCATGCTTGGTACTCATTTATCGACCCACTGAAGGGATGAAAGGCTGAGTCAACCTTGCCCGGCCTGAGGATCGAACCAGGGACCTGTGGCACGACAGCGCAAAGCGCTACCGCTCAGCCACAGTACAAAATTAGTAAATCCAAATTGCGATGTACGATTTTTAAATCATGTGAATACGAATTGCAAGGGGTAGCTTTGAAAACAGGTAAATAAGAAAATCTATATCTGATACAGAAATCGGGTGAATAAGAATCGTAATATCAGCAGCGCAGTTCCTAACATTCAAAATCAGGAAAAATCTGTGGAACCAAAAGAATATAAATGGCGGAAGAATTGCGTACGACATAATTCTTCATGAAATTAACAGAAGAATGAATGCAAAATTGCAACGGGTGTGAATACAAATTGCAATGGGTAGCTTTGAAATCAGGTAAATAAGAAAATCTATATTTGATATAAAAATTGTGTGAATAGGAATTGTAATATTAGCAGCGCAGTTCATAATATCCAAAATCGGAAAATTCCGTGGAACCAAAAGAATAAAATTGGCAGAAGAATCACTTACGACATAATTCTTCACGTAATTAGCAGAAGAATGTATGCGAACGTCTCGTTAGTGGAAGTTAGCGAAAGCTTCTGTAAGCAAAAATTGCATGCAATGCTTCTAGACCTGGAAGAATGATACGAAAAATCCGGAATTCCTGAGTATAATCCCCCTTGGCTTTTTCAATGTCGATCTCCACTTATATATATATTACATATATAAGTGACAAGACAATATTTTAAAGCTATATTCTTATTTATTAATATATTTTTGATGCAAAATAAACTTTATTAAAACATCTATTGAACATTGAAAGAGAACAAGCAATTTATAGATGCAATAAATAGGAACACTACTAAAAATGTTAAATGATCTTTTCTTAAACTTTCTCGCACAAAAGCAAAATTTTATAATATAATCCCATAAAATAGAGAAATGACAAGAAATTATTCAGTTAGAACTTTCCCACAAAGAAGCTACTTACTAAAGCTGGAGTAGTATATACATCTGGCGTTTTTTCATCAATTTCTCTCAGGTCACTTATTTTAACCCTTTCAGTATTACCATAATCAATGAAAAATACCTGTAAAATGGAACCAAAAAGTAATATATTCAACTTAAACAAATATAATTTAGAAGTTTTTATAAAGTCTAAAACATTTTATAAGCATGAAAACTATGTTTATATCAATTAAAAAAAAGCAATCCATTAATAATAATACTTTCTTGCTAAATCATAGTAAGGGGGAAGTAATATGTTATGAAGATACTCTTCTTAAAAAAGTATAGCTTAATGTTTGATACATACATACAGTCAGACTTCTATTTAACATACTTCCATTTTGCGAATTTTTTTGAGGAACCAAAAATATTTTGGAAATTTCTTCACAAAATAAAATCCAAATAGCAAAGTGAATTTTCTATTTAACGAACTTTTCATTGAGATCCACTTTCCCTATTTCCTACTTCCTTTATTTAACTTCCACTTTCTCCATTTAAAATTACTTTGTAGTAATAATTTTATACAGCAAATAAATATAATCAAAATGTATGTAACATGATAGTGTAACACTGGATGTTTTTCTCTATTCTTGTTTTCCATGCAGATTCCATTTATGGTTAAGATTTATAAAATAAATAGTAGATACTAGTTTACAAGATAAAGGTGTATCAATTGCTATTTTAATGATGTCTAGTGTTTATGAATTAAAAACCTGTTTTGTTTTGTTTAAGCATTTTAAAAGGCGATTTTCTATTTAAAGAATTTTCCATGTAACAAACTGATTAGCGGAATTTAGCAACTTTGTGAAATACAGGTTCGACTGTATATATATATATACACACATCAGGGTGCGTAGCCAAATCTTTCCAAAAAAATAAGCACCTTTTAAGTAGCGAAAAAATATTTTCAAGCACTATATACATTAACAAAATGCAAAATAATTTTCAAAGACATTGAAAATTATTTTGCACTTTGTTTTATTGATGATTATAAAATTATTTTCATGGTGTAAAATTACTAATGTAGAATTACTTATCATGATCATGTAAAACTATTTTACATGATCATGATAAAATAACTAGTTTCTGACACGGAACTCTTTTGTTGATTATATGAGCCACCATAAAAAAATTGGGAGATTTTTTGGTTTGATTTCAGATGGTGGAAAATGAAGCCTGAAATTGAGAATATCTTGCAAAATGCAGCAGAGTTGCACACGAGAGTGCTAGAATCTCACCGAACTCAGCTCAGTAGATGCACATGCGGACCCGCAACTATTTCATCAAACATGTAAAATGATTGGCACTTTCATATGCTACGGACCAACTGTATGAAACACATTGTGTTTGAATGAATCGTGAAAACGTTGAATAGAACACCGTGAAAAACACGTGTCATGCCTCCATATATGTTTTTATTGAATGTTTCATATTGCTATACGTTTGTATAATATTACAAAGTTTTGCTATGCTAGTATAAAATGGTTGTTCATTATTTTTTTATTGAATGTCGCACATTATATTTTTTTATGTTTGTATTGAATATTTTATATTATATAGCTTAATGGTATATTTATTGAATATTTTCTGATGTTTGTCATGCCTCCATGTTGAGATGGCGCTGTCATCAAGTTAGATGTTGTAAAAAAAGACAGAGGAGGGAATGCTCTGATTGAGAGCGGGAGTGAAAAGAAAGATGTATGCTTGTAGTTTTGTTTAGGTTGCTTGGTTATATTAATTTTCTTCAAACTTAATCTTTTACCATTGTTAATAAATGTTTTTTTGTGTTGTAAACTAGTTACCATTTTTTTTTGACCAATTGTGTTTTTGGGAAGCATCTGAGTGAAGAAGGGAAAAGGAGAAAAAAAATATACATATCACACCACGCTTTTGTATAATGTGGCATGCTGAAGAAAAANCAAATCATTAGTACTAAACAAATCAATAGTTAAAAATATACAGTAAGACATTTAAAGTACATTTATTAACTGGATAAGCATTTGTTGATTCGAATATAAAATACAAGCACAACAAACGAGTATCATGCAAAATATAAAAAACAACAGTGCATATATATATATACATACGTACGTACATACACACACACATATATATATATATATATATACACACACACATATACACATACATATATATATATATATACATACATATACATACATATACATATATATACATATACATGTAAATACATACATATACATACATATACATGTATATACATACATATACATATATATATACATACATATACATATATATATACATATATGTATGTATGTAGGTATGTAAAATTTGTATAGAATTGTTACAATTCAACCTCTGTTTAAAATTAACAAAAATAAAATTTTTTCAATTATCAGAATTTTTATAAAAATGTGAGTCTTATCCAGAGATGGACCCAAAAGCTTCATTTAAGACCAAACAAAAAAAATTGCATTTTTCATTAATAAGAAGGGGGAAAAAATGCATATTTATACAAATTGTTGTGATTAAGAAATTTTATGACATTAAGTAGTTCCAAACAATATGAAGTGAACATATTTTTTAAAATCTTTCAACACAGAATAAGTATTTATAAAACCAGCATAGCTGTAATAGAACCCCGCTGGTCAATGACAAAAATTGACTTTAAAAAAGAGGTGCAAATATTTTTATGCAATCACATATTAGTTGTGGGGGACGTGTGAAACAATGTCTTAAAAAGACTTACTTCGGCCAGGCTTTCTTTACTTCTTAGCTTCTTTACCTGAGCTCTGTAGTAATCCTGTTTCCCACGCTCTGTGAAGGGTGCAAGACATAACATGTTGGCAACTGCTTTCTTTGATAACACCTAGTTTCACAATTATTTATTGTTAAAAAAAAAAAAAAAACTAAAATGACATAAATTTATCGAAATAAAAAGTTACATTTTTGAATGTTTTAATTTATTTTATAACCGTCGTTGAACAGCCGACTCAATTTTATGGGTTTACGACTACTAACGTTCAACTCCATAGCCTTGTAATTTTGAACCCAATCCAGAAGACAAGGGAACTCCTGGATCAAGTATTGGTTGAAATTTACCTTCGTAGAGAACTTTTTTAAAAACTAACCCGCATTTGCGTTACATGGAGAGGAAGACCATGAGAACCTCCCACGGTTAGACTGACGGCAAGGGGACTCTAGCTCATGATCCGTCTACCACTGACTGAGATCTGCGTGCAGCGTGACATCATGAGAAGGGAAATCGTGGCTTCAGATCTAAGAGCGGAATGAACTAGCCCTGTATCATAAGGGACTTCAAGATTGAATTGAGTTAGCATGTCTTATATACTCAGGAGTCTATCCAGACATTTTGTGAAAGGTCCGTTTTTGTAAAATTGTGAAAAAATGACTCGTAATCTGCGAATATAAAATAAACGTTAAGTCACATTATTTCAACCAGGGTCCTGCTTTTGTGAATTTGTGCAAATAGGGTCCTGCTATTGCAAAAAAACTTTTTCAAGGAATTTTTTAAATTGTAAAGACATACAAGATTATGCTCAACACTGTAAAATTATAATTAAAAAAATTAAATTAAAAAAATAAACAGCAATTGCAGGTATTAAATTAGCGATGCAACATATTAATATTTGGTATTTAGCCTATACTGCTGAATGCAGAATATTCATTTCGGACGAATAAAGAAAGAAGCGTCTGCCGAAGACAAAACTTAGTTCGTTTACATCTGTCTTTCTTTCCCCCCTCCCTTCCTGGGAAGGGTTTATTGGATTAACAGAACAATAATGAAGATAAACAAATTTGTGAAGGGTCCGATTAAAAGATAAATTATTTTGTGAAAGGTCAGTTTTTAAGTTAAAAGATTTCGTGAAGGGTCCGTTTTTATGAAAAGATATTTTGAGAAGGGTCTGTTAACGGATCCAAATTTCTTCTAAACAGACCCCTGATTATATGCTATTGAATTGATGTTTAATAATCATAGTAGCAGTTACGCCTCAGAAATCTTTCAGAGCTGTTGATTTTGCTTTTGAATACAGAATTAGGTTAGATAAATAACAATCACAGAAGCACTTACTTTTAAGTTTCTGTACTGATCATACTGAATCGTCATGTCAAGGAATCTCATTAAATTATTAGTGGATGGGCTGATTATACGAGCCCAAAAACTTCCACAATTTACGACCTGAAAAAAAAAAGTACATTTTTTGATTTTGTAAAAAAACCTCCTGAATACAGAACAACATTTCCCCAACAGTTTTGCGTTCACTTATACGTTATTTCAAGTCTTCTCAGTAAGCTCCCAACATGGATAGGAAAAAGTCCTGTATATTTTATGTAATAAAAAAATTTTAAAGATAATTTATAATAATGTACTAAATATTTCATGCATAGGAAATTTTATTGATTTTTATAGTCATCAAAATAGAAAAACTGCAATGTTTTTCAGTTATGATGGACATTAAATGAACTTGTAATGCTATGTATTATGTTTACTGATAATTTTGAATAGTTATAAGCATTTATTTCATCAAAGATAGTAAAAGATGTTTTTAATCAATTTCGAAAAGGGAGTTCTGAATAAAAATAAACTGCACATCTCAGGACAAAAACAGTTTTAAACTGATTTTAATAAATAAGGCTAGCCTTATTATTAAGGCCCGGATTTTGATGACATTTGCACTTTTTTGCATTTTTTGATATTTTTTTGTCCTTTAGAGCATTTTTTTAGATTTATAGGGCATTTTTCTTTAAATTTTTTGGCGTATTTTGCATTTTAAAGCATTTTTTAAATTTTTTGCTAATTTTTTCCAATTTTTATTATTTTTTTTTTAATCTTTTTTTATTATTACACTGGCTTCCAAACAATGAAAAAAAATCTCTAGGATATTAACAGGTGTAGCAACATCTTTTCAAATTGAAGAAGAATTGTCAGTAAATGAGTCTGTCTTTTTCAAGTACGCACCAATAACATCAGTAGACGTTGAAAGAAGCACTTTCAGACAAGAGACGCTCGTTTACATTTCAAAATATCAACAAAAAAAATTTATAATCCAATGTAATTCTGATATTTAGTAATATTATAAGATGGAAGTTGTTATATTCATTAAAGTTTCTATACAGAATGAAAATGTTTTGGGGTCAATATATTTTCCTTTTTTTTTGTTATTTTAGGATATAAAACATATTTTTCAAACTTTAATGAACGTAGAACAAGTATTGCATTGCTTAATATTTTTTGAAATGACTCATAATAATTTTAAAGTGTTAAACATTGTTTTATTTCAATATTTTTATTTTATTTAAGTCATGTCATAAGGCATTTTTAGCGCAATTTTCGCATTTTTAAGAGCATTTTTTGCACTTTTTAAGGGCATTAATAGAGATTTTTTAGGTCATCAAAATCCGGGCTCTACTTATTATAATACAATACTTATTTTAATATTCATACAAGCAACATAGCTGCCAACATGGATAGGAAAAAAATCCAGTAGATTTTATGAAATAATATAAATTTCATGGTAATTGTTGTATAATGTTCTAAATATTTACACATAGGGAATTTTAAGGATTTTTATAGTCATCAAAATAGAAAAACTGCAATAGTTTTCAGTTATGATTGACATAAAACATACTTGGAATGTTAAGTATTATCTTTACTCATAATTTCGAATATTATTGGCATTTGATTCCTCAAAGATAGTTAAAACATGTTTTTAATTAATTTAAAAAGAGAGTTCTGAATAAAAATAAATTGAACATTTTAGAATTTAAAAAAAAAAAAAACAATTTGAATTGTTCTTTATAAATGAGGTTCACTTCATTATGTATTTGCAATACTTATTTAAATATTCTAGTAAGCAAGCAATAATCTGTACAAAAATTCCATTTCAATACGAATTTTTTTATGAAAGTTACTCAATTTTAGGGAATTTTCTAAAATGTACAAAAACCAGGAGAATTTTAACTAAACCAGAAGACAAGGAGAAACAGGCAAAATCCAGTAGTCTACTGGTAGAGTTCACCCACTCTTTCACCAAAACAAAAATTAAGCACCTTTAAGGACTTTAAAAATAGTATGATTGTTCATTATCGAATATACAAGTCTCCAGTGATAGCGCAAATTATTTACTGTCCTAAAAAAATATCAATAAATAAAAAAATCATAAAAAAAACAATTTTATTATAATGTAAACACTGATATAATTGTGTGAATTTAACATGGCTCACCAAAGAAGTACCAGGCAATTTTTGCAAACCTGGGTCGAGTTTTATTTAAAAAATTTTCAGATATTAAAAGTTAACGCCATTCAGACTGTAAAGGTTAACGTATGAAACTAATCTGCATTCCATTTTAAATAATTTCATTAAAATTGAAAAAATTGTTCCTGTCAACCATAGTGATGCTAAAAAACTAAGCATTTTTAAAAGCCTTGAACCAAAATTAAGTACTTTTAAGGGCCCTTATTTTCCAAAACAGTTTTTAAGGACTTCTGAGAACCGTGGGAACCCTGACGGGAAAATCCAGTAGAATTGGCAGCTATGTATTAAGAGATTACAAAAGATTCTTATAAAAACTTTTGACACTTTTCAATGGCATGATAAATCAGTTTATTATGTTCACTTACATGAGTTATTAGAATGTCAATTATTCCAGATTTTCCCGGTGGTGGAACTTCAATTCTTTTAAGCTCCATTTGGGGATCAAACTTTACAGTCACTCTATAAACAAAAGAAAAGCAATAAATCAGGAATTTTGCAAATCACACTAGGAATAAATATACAAGGTGCGTAGCCAAATCCTTCAACAAAAAATAAGCACCTTTAAAGTACTTTTTAAGCACTCAAAAAGATATTTTTAAGCACTATATACATTACCAAAATGCAACATAATTTTCAAAGACTTTACATTATCACGATAAAATAACTAGTTTCTGACAAAAAAACTCTTTTCTTGATTATGTTAGCCATTATAAAATGATCCAGAGACTTTTTGGTTCGATATCAGAGGGTGGAAAATGAAGTCTGAAATTAACAATATCTTGCAAAATGCAGCAGAGTTGCACATGAGAGTGCAATTATCACCCCAAAACCAGCTCAGTAGACTCGCACTTTTTAGAAACACAGACTCGCAAGTTTTCACCAAACATGTAAAATGATTGGTGCTTTCATACGCTATGGGCCAACGGTACTCCTAAATGATTGTGGTTGAATGAATTGTGAAAATGTTGAATAGAACAATGTGAAAAGCACGCTTTTGCATAATACATGGCGAAAATAGACATGGAAAAGAAAAAAATATCATTTTCGAAAAGGAAACACATATAACAACCTCATCAGGATGTTTTTTTATACTTTGCCTAAATGGCATTTGTCATTCTATAGAATGTCTAGGTATTATATACAATGGCTAGGGAAAGTATGTAATACTTCTCATATTTCATACTTTGCCTAAAAAACATCCGGCATTACATACAATGCCTATGCATTCTATAGAATGCAGGCGTTTCATACTTTGCCAGTACCATATACGTTAACAAAATGAAAAATAATTTTCAAAGACTTTACATGATCATGATAAAATAACTAGTTTCTGACAAAGAACTCTTTTCTTGATTATATTAGCCACCATAAAAAGATGAAACGGATTTTCGGTTCGATTTCAGGAGGAAAATGAAACCGGAAATTGAGAATCTCTTGCAAAATGTAGCCGAGTTGCACATGAGAGCAGANATGCAGATCCGCAAGCATTTCATCAAACATGTAATACGATTGGCGCTTTCATGCGCTACAGAACGCTGAAATGCATAGTGTTTGAAATGATTTGTGAAAACGTTAAATAGAACAATGTGAAGACCACACTTTTGCATAATATGTGGTGAAAATCGACACAGTAAAAGAAAAAAATATCATTTTTGAAAAGGGAAAATTAAGCACTTTTTAAAAACATCCAATGAAAAAAAGCACCTTTAGGGGCTTTTAAATAATGAAAATCGAAAATAAGCACCCTTAAGCACTTTTTAAAAACTCTACGCACCGTGATATAATGTGTCTCATTTTTATGAGTAAAAGTTGTTGACATGTACTTTTGTATTGAGCATAGTATTACTTTGAGACACATCACAACACCATGGAATGGAATTGAGAATTATTAAAATTTATTTTTTTTTTTAAATTAGGCTGATTACCCTGACAACTGAGAGTTTATTTTTAATACTTTTTACCAGGGTTTGTTGATTTGAATCAACTTGATTTAAATCAAATGATTTTTTTTAAAAAATAATTGATTTAAAACAACTAATTCTCTTGATTTATATTGATTATAAAAGTTAAAAAACAGTGTTCTAAATTTTTGATACTTTTATTTTATTTTCTTAGTATTAAAATTTAATTTAAATAAATTGCTGCATTAATTAATTTTAGTCAACGAAATTACTTTCTTGGTGTGTATTAAATTCCAACACATTTGAAATTACATTTTTAAAAATCTTTTGATTCTTGAGATTGAAAGTACAGATTAAAGTAAACGTTTAATGCTGTCTTAATATAAATTTGCATTGCTGTAGAAAGTAATTATTAAACATGAATTTTTTCAAAAAATAATGTTAATTAAAATTCTACCCTTTGAAAGAAAAAGCGTGGAATTAAAATCTACATCATATTTTATTGGTGGAAAATGTATATTTCTGAAGCTTGAGGGTATATCAAAAAGAAATTACCCTAATATGCCAAAAATAGAAAGGAAAAAAAAGGCCAATAAATTCAGATATTTCTTTCTTGATATAGTGTCATTCTTCCCTTTTAAACTCTTTCAAAGTCTATTTGAAGCAGTAATGTTATTAACTGGCATTTTTTTCTCATAATATATTTACAGTATCTTTGACATCTGATTTTCTATAAAGAAATTTTGTGAAAAAAAAAAATTCCTATGAGTACATAGATTTTTAAAAAAATTTATTTTTTTTAGCTTAACTCATCTATTTTGATAAAGAATTAAAAATGAATATTTTAATAAAAAAATATATAGATTAAATATTTATTTATTTTTTGATGAATGACTACATTTATAAACACAATCTGTTACATTTATTTCGTCATATCAATCAAGAGAAGAAATAATGAAATTTAAAATTAAAATTATGGTTTGCTAATTGAAACTTTGTTTTAATAGTTAAATTACAGGGGTCTGTCCAAATGAAATTTACTACCGTTTACCGGTACCTTCACAAATGTAACTTTAAGAAACACGGTTGAATAATTTCACAAAATACTTCTTTCTTAAAATTTTAATTTTTGTGTCTCTTAAGAAACGATTAATCCAAATTTTTAACATATTTGCGTTGATTTTTTAATATAATTTTTAATTTTCAAAAATTATGTCTAAATTTTTACAAAATAGGTATCCTTCCAAAATAGGTATAGGTAAAAATTTCCTTCATGCATTCGTTTCAAAATGGTTGCTATGCATTCAAAGCTACGTATTATAATGAAAATTTATTTTAGTAAGTTAAAATATTGTTCTAAATATTGCTATAATGTAGTTTCAAAATTAATTTAATTTTGATTAAGCATTTATAAAGTTTTTTTAGTCATAAATTAAAGTTCTTACAATGTATTTGAATAAAAGAAGAAAAAAATCCGATTTAAATTAAAAAAACCACGAACCCTGCTTTTTACGTTCTTCTTCATTACAGATAAAAAACAATGAGTAAAATTGTTAAAATTATATGATTATTACAAACCAATTACTGAATACATAAATCACAGCTTTTTTTTATTATTTCCAATGGCCAGAGTTACCGAGACACCACTACACCGCAAAAAGTTGTGGAGCAAATGAGAACATAGAGAAAAGAAAAACATAACAGGACGCCCCTGCATTATCCCTCAAAAGGCTTCTGTCAGTATAGACGCGTGCCCAATTGGGTTCGAGATACGGGGTGCTTATTGATTCTTACCTTAAAATAGAGGAAATCTTGTTCTTTTTTTGAAAAACCACTTGGGAAAAATCACAGTTTCTTTAGTTAAAGTAACACCCATATATCCCCACAATTCTCAGCACACCCATACATTTGCAAGAATAATGACCAAATTTGGAATTTATGCATTGAATGAATAGATTAATTCAGAATAGCAAATAATTTAAAAAATCAATAATTCTAAATTTTCTTTCGGTAAAACAAGTCTCATCAGTAATTACATATACAAACTACATATTTATTAACTTTTAAAAGTACATGCATTTAAAAAAAAAAAGTAAAAGTGTAAATTTGAAATGTTTTTATTAAAGAGCAAATTACTTTTCTTACACCTAATTCAATTGAATATTGTTATATTAAAACACTATATTTATGAATTATACCAAAAAAATACTTTTGACATAAATCATTGATGCATGGATGGTTGACTGAATGTAAACAATAACAAGTTTCCTAAAACTGGAAGAAATAAAGAAGAAAACTTCCGGTATATCCCTCAACTTATGTATTGCCTACAAAGCGATGTGTGAACAGATTTAATATTCTAGGAAGTTTTATTATTGTGATTTGAGTTTAAATGTCCGTTTCATTTTACAATTTGTAAGAGTTTTCTGTAATTTATAAATTCTAACAGGTCTTGAGCCTCAAACAAATTCAACAAAATTAATATCACAGCATTAAGAAAGTAAGCAGGGATCTGTTTAGGTTTTTCCGAGAGATACCTATTTTGTGAAAATTTAGACATAATTTGTGAAAATTTAAAANAGCAAATTATTTTACATACACCTAATTCAATTGAATATGTAATGCCCACAAAGCGATGTGTGAACAGATTTAATATTCTAGGAAGTTTTATTATTGTGATTTGAGTTTAAATGTCCGTTTCATTTTACAATTTGTAAGAGTTTTCTGTAATTTATAAATTCTAACAGGTCTTGAGCCTCAAACAAATTCAACAAAATTAATATCACAGCATTAAGAAAGTAAGCAGGGATCTGTTTAGGTTTTTCCGAGAGATACCTATTTTGTGAAAATTTAGACATAATTTGTGAAAAATAAAATCAACACAAAAATATGGATTTATCGTTTCTTACGGGATACAAAAGTAAAATTTTAAGAAAAAGTATTTTGGGAAACTACTGTTTTGCCTAAAGTTGAATTTGTGAAGGCACCGCTAAACGGTAGTAAATTTGGCTAGGACAGACCCCTGGTAAGGTTAGCCATGTTTTGAGTGTTATCCCTTTTTTGGCTATATTTGTGTAAAATAGCACCGTTTGTTATTTTTTGGGCAGCATCATAGCAAGCTAGTGAAGTCTTATGAATTCTTTTGTTCCTTGTCTTGTTGAAGATTAGATTGAAAGATAGCATTATATTGAAAACACACAAGTATAATAATGTTGGATGGAGCATTTGGATATTTGTATTGAATAAATATTGGATATTGCTATTTGTATTGAATAAATATTGGATATTGATATTGGATATTTGCATTGAAAAAATATTGGATATTTGCATTAAATAAATATTGTATTGAAATAAAAAGTTAGCCATTACATTGACTGTTAAGAAAAAGAGAAAAATATTTTATATTCGCTTTTTTATAAAATGTAATAAAAATGAAATAATTGGCTTAATTTAATTAAAATTCGATTAAGAATTATTCTAAAAATTAATTTAGGAAAAGTTAGGAAATATGTAATGCCCATTGTGGCGTCTCTTTCAGTGAAACATAAGTACATACAGGGGTGATTGTGAGCCCAACTCAAAAATCCGGAAAATTTCTTGAGTAAAATCATTAATGAGGCATTTCAAAAAAAATTTATGTCTTTATAAATTTGAATTATTGATATTTTCACAACATGCAATTCTAAATAAATTATATGCAGCATAATTTAAATTAATAATTATAAATAAGTTTACTTTTATCTCTAATCACATTTATTATTCTACCAGAAAAAATATTTACAAATGAAAAAGATGCCAAGTATAAATTCGAGTTCTATTATTTTTAAATAAATATACAAGAAATTTTATACATTAAAGTGATCGATGATTTCTTGAAACTTCTGGACCTTGGATTTCTGGACCGCGTGAAACGAAAAATCGGGAAATCCGGATTTTTTTCTGGAGCACAATCATCTCTGTACATATCATCCAACTGATAAGCATGAAAATAAACTATTACCTATTAGGCATTAATCTGTGATCTCTATTCTGATTTTTTGATGACAAAATTTGTTGACATTTTCTGTCCGCTTCCTCTGGACTAAAAATAGTTAGTTCGAGCGGAAGACCAAGTTTCCTAAAATCAAAAAAAGAAAAAAGCTATAAATTTGAATGATCACAGAAACAGAACAAAATAAACAACAAAGTGATCACCTCACCTCATTTTAACTGCAAGATACACAGGCTGAAGAACATTAGAAGAAGAGCTGCTTGCACTCCTTGCAAATTTAATATAAGCCCTAAAGAACAAGTGATAATTTGAATTAAAAAAAACGAACAAAATAATAATACAGTTTAATTCCTTTTTAGCGAATTCCTAGGGACCGAAGCAATCGCTACCAAAAAAAATCTTAAATTTCTAATGGGGAAAAAAAGAAAAAAAAATGGAAATTTTATTGATAGAATTTATTAGTCCATTGATTTTTCTCTCTATTATTTTCATTGATTTGCCCACTGATTTCAGTCCCCAGGACAGAAGAGTGGCACCTGTGACTGTATTGTTAAAGACAAGCAACCCTAAAACAAATTATTTAAAAGAAGGAGAGGAACTCACTTTTTTTCTTCAAATTCAATGACAATGTTGTTGGAGCAGCAGGTAAACATATCCTTTAATGCTGATGCATAGAGTATTCCATGTTTTGGAGGAAGCCCAGATACCTTTAGAATTGAAGAGGAAAAAAATAGTATGAATAAAACAAAAAAACTACATAAAACACATTTTCTAAACATTGACTCTTCTGTTTATATATTAAGTTCCGCGTTCGTCTGACCACCTAACCGGAACTTCTACTCCTGCACCCCAGAGCCCAAGGTCAAGAAAGCTGAGATGGGCACAGTAGGCCTTGGCCCTCTATGGGCTGTCGTGCCACTGAGTTTAGTTTTAAAGTTTATATATTAAGTTATTATATATATTAAGTTATCTGATTGAAAAACACTCCAATATTTCAAGAGAAACACTCTTTGATTTTCTCATAAATCCACAGCATTTTTCCAGGGTGCTTAGCCAAATTATTCAAGCACTCAAATAATATTTTTAAGCACTTAAAAAAAAAAAAACCCAATTAGGTAGGATTGGAAAGTTTCTGACCATTGATGGTTTTATCTGGTTTTAACCGTCATGTAAAAAAATAAAAACTTTCGGCATTGTTCTTGACAATTGTCAAAATTTTTTAATCATGTAAGTGGAATGGCGTTTTCATACGATACGGACTGATGATAAGCAGAAATAGATTGGGGTTGAATCAATTATGAAAACGCTGAATAGAACAATCTGTTGTCTTTTTGCATAATTCGTAGCAAAACTCAACGTGGTAAAGGAAAAATCTCATTTTGGAAAAGGAAAACTAAGCACTTTTAAAAAACGAAAATCAAAAATAAGCACCTTTAAGCACTTTTTAAAAACGCTGTTGTCTTTTTGCATAAGTCATAGCAAAAATCAACATGGTAAAGGAAAAATCTCATTTTGGAAAAAGGAAAACTAAGCACTTCAAAAACGAAAATAAAAAATAAGCACCTTTAAGCACTTTTTTAAAAACGCTATGCACCCTGTTTTCAAATTCAGATAAGTTTAATACAGTAATTCTCAGCTACTCTGCCACGGCACTTTTGTGAACCGCAAAATTCATTAGAAATGACATAGTAAAAATTGTAATGTTTTTTTTCTTATTACGAATAAAGTTTAAGTTATACTTTTTATAATTTTCAATAACAACATCTTTGTCGGCGATAGACCTGTCTCTGACAAAGTCAAAATGTTAAAATAAGAGGGAAATTTAATGATTTAATTAAAATTATTAATTAACAGAAGAAAACAAGCTACATATTAACATTCAAAAGGAAATAAGAGCTAGCAATTAAAATGAGCTATGCAATTATAAGTTGTAAAAGCAAATTAACAAAGGACTACTAACAAAAAACAAACAAGCTAATTATTAATTAGCAAAATAAATTTTTTTTGCTAATTAATAACTAGCAAAAAAAAAACAAATTAACAAAGAATCATAGAAAAAAACAATTAATGTAAAAATAACTAGCAATTAATAACTTTAAAAAAACAAGCTAACAATTATTAATAAGCAACAAAAAAAACAAACATTTTTACGGCCAAATATAAATGAAATTATCAAACACATCGAGCTCAGATTTCTCACTAGAAGTGTTCTTATTATTAACTTATAATTAATCCTTAATAAACGTTCTGTTGTTATTGAAATACATTTTATTTTGTTTTACATTGAAAATTGTTATCATAAACCATATTACATTGTGTATTAGAGGTAAGTAAACAACTTTTAAACTTATAGTTTTCTTTGTGTGACGTCAAATTTCAAAATCGTTAAAAATGTACTGTTACGACAAAAAAAACCAAACAAATCACAAATTATGTACACAGTGCTATTATAACACACAAATTACGATGATTCTATCGTATATCTACATGATTTTTTGTACATAATCAGTTCATTGTAAATTTATGTCATTTACAATAGTTTTCTTGGGGCCATTTCCCCATAGTTTGTTTAACTTTGAAAATTTAATATGAATTTGATAACTAAATTTTTCCAAACACACTTGGTTCAATATATGCTTAAAATACAGTTGAACTTGTTTATTTTGAACCTTTCTATCTCGAAAACCTCTGTATGTCAAAATTCCCTACATTTACAGTGCAAAATCAATGTTTTTCCATGTTTATGTCAAAATTTTTTCCCTCGTAATCTCTGATCCTCGAATTTCTAATAATAGCGCATAAATTCCCAAACAACATAACTTTCTTTATCAGTAGAAGTTGCATGACAGAGATGAATTTTGTGAATCTACAGGAGGTAGAGATGCACAGATTGGGGAAGTTCTTGGAATTTAAGCACATATAACTTTCTTAACTAAAAAGAAATACAATGATTCTGGCAGTAAGTGAGGTGTTAATGAATAGTGACCACCAGGGGTTAGCTTTTCAACATAGATAAGAAAGCTAAGAATAGAAATTCATTTTCACCTCAAAATTGCAACCAATGGATCAAAGGATTATTAAGAGTTTTAAACTGAACTATAGAATACATTTGGTACGCAAACTTGTAGATGCCATCGATGGAAAAAGTTCTCTTCAAAAATAAATATGTTAAATGCAAGGGCACCGGCAGAATAATATAAAAGGGGGTGCAACCCTCTAACACACAACCCCCCACACACAAAAAATAAAAATATTCTGTTATTACATATACCTTCATCTGTTAATATTTTTCTAGATAAATTTCTTCATTGTTAATAAGATATTTAAAAAAAAAAGTATGAATTTCTTGTACTTGCAAATTCTGCCACAAGAAACTGTATTGATGGCGCTGGCATAGCTACTGACTTTAAAACATAAATAACTACAAACAGTAGTTTTGTAAACTAACGTGTTTGTACATGCTTAACATTGGTATTTATTGTGTTGATGAAGTTTTACAGTTGGGAGAAGTCAGCTTGTGTTATACACATTTGTTAAACTGAATAACTAATAGAAAATATATTATTTACATTTTATTAAATGAAATTTAAAAATATAGCTTAGATATCTGCCAAGTTTGTGAATGCTCAGTGTGCATAAGAAAAGAATCAAAGATGACTCAGAATTCATTAAAAAAGTTATAAACAGATTTGGACAGCAAACGAGACCATTACAATTCTTGTTTGATTAAACAATTTTTTAATTGTTATGTATCAATAATTACTTAATTATTTGTTTCTGAATACAGGGATGAGATTGGCCAAAAGGTAAAAAAGCTGAATTTTTAAGTGAGTAAATCGTGATTTATAGCAAAAATATCAGTAACATATTCTCATCCAGTTTTGCTGATGTTGTAATGCCTATATATAGCAATAATCGTCGATAGAAAAACTGCCACATTTATAGTAAGTAATTCAAGAAAAAAACTTACTTTTTGCAGGAATCGCGATCTTGGATTTTAAAATCGTGTGAATATAAATCACGATATTGAAATCACGTGAATGAAATTCGATATTGGATTTCAAAAATGTGAAAATACAAATCACGATGCGTAATTTTCAGATTGCGTAAATACGAATCAAGATGCATAATTTTTAAATCGTGTGAATACGAATCCAAAGCCTAATTTTCAAATCACATGTAAATACGAAAATAGCTGTTGGATATTACAACCGCAAATATGAATCTCGACATTGGATAAACTCGCATGAATACAAATTGTTACATAGAAATTTATAAACGCTTCAATACAAATCGCGATATTGGATTTTTAAATCTCGTAAATAAGAATTGCAACGAACAATATTGAAATCACGTGAATAAGAATCGCAACTTTTAAATCAAGTAAATACAAAAATCGATGTTTGATATTAAAATGCAGAGACGTCTGGATTATGAAAATAACAGCTATCTAGCGGACGGGTATAAATGAGGAAAATCTTATTTTTTGCTCGTAAAAGCTAAAATAAGTAGATATGTAGAAGAGTTGGCAGCTATGTAGTTTGAATTTTCTATATATCTTTCGATATATTATATCTATATATCAAATCCGAAATAAATATAATTATTTTATTTCAACGACTGAATTTTCAGAAAAGGCGAAATATTTATTNGGATAAATAGCAATAAAAATTTGAGCTACAATTAATAGCTGTATATCAGTTATCAACACTGTTATTGGGTTAAAATAATGAATCTCTTAGTTATAATTTTTGAAATATTAATTTTACTTTTTTGAAAAAAATATGTAGATTCAAAATCTAATCAGAATAGTTAAGAAATTTTGAACTATTCAAAGCAAGAAATTAGGGTCAATATTTATAAGTTCATAAAAAGCTTAGTAATCGACTTTGAAAATTAAATAATTAAAAACATATGACAAAATAATAAATTAGAAAACAATGTTTGATCACATATAACATGAATTAAAGAATTAGTCACATAAAACAAAGACACACGATTAAATTTTCTTTTATATACTTGCCTTGCATGACTTCGAATGAACTCCAAAGTGGCACTTACGTACTGTGCACCCATATCTGCAGAACAATTTGGTTCACTTGGATTATGGAATGTATGAAATCTGCCTCCTAAAATTCATAAATGAGAAACTGCAGTTAAATCAATATTTATAAATCTTATATATTACAGTAGAAGAGTTTTTCACCCAAATTAGTAAATAACAGAAAACATAAAATACATTACCAAAAAAATTAAGAAATAGAAAATCAGTTCAAGATAACTAATGCTATTTCTTGCATTGGGGAACAAATTTTTTACTGCAAAAAATTATCTTTTGTTTTTACCATTTTATATTAAAATTTAATTACTTTTTTTTTAAATATAGAAATTGTTTACACTGTTAAAGGTGAACTATTTAGTGAGGATTAATGATGAGGAAGCAATGAAAATTACAGGGATGAGATTGGCCAAAAGGCAAAAAAGCTGAATTTTGACGCGAGTAAATCTTACGTGATTTATAGCAAAAATATCAGTAACATATTCTCATCCAGTTTTGCTGATGTTGTAAGGCCTATATATAGCAATAATCGTCGATAGAAAAACTGCCACATTTATAGTAACTAATTCAAGAAAAAAACTTACCTTTTGCAGGAATCGCGATCTTGGATTTTAAAATCGTGTGAATATAAATCACGATATTGAAATCACGTGAATGAAACTCGATATTGGATTTCAAAAATGTGAAAATACAAATCACGATGCGTAATTTTCAGATTGCGTAAATACGAATCAAGATGCATTATTTTTAAATTGTGTGAATATGAATCCAAAGCCTAATTTTCAAATCACGTGTAAATACGAAAATAGCTGCTGGATATTACAACCGCAAATATGAATCTCGACATTGGATAAACTCGCGTGAATACGAATTGTTATATAGAAATTTATAAACGCTTCAATACAAATCGCGATATTGGATTTTTAAATCTCGTAAATAAGAATTGCAATGAACGATATTGAAATCGCGTGAATAAGAATCGCAACTTTTAAATCAAGTAAATACGAAAATCGATGTTTGATATTAAAATGCAGAGACGTCTGGATTATGAGAATAAGAGCTATCTAGCGGACGGGTATAAATGAGGAAAATCTTATTTTTTGCTCGTAAAAGCTAAAATAAGTAGATATGTAGAAGAGTTGGCAGCTATGTAGTTTGAATTTTCTATATATCTTTCGATATATTATATCTATATATCAAATCCGAAATAAATATAATTATTTTATTTCAACGACTGAATTTTCAGAAAAGGTGAAGTATTTATTAAAAAAAAAAGAGGAAACTTTTAGAGAATCGGAGTTTTTGATAAAAAGGCTGAAATTCGAGAAACAAAAGCGAAAAGGCGGAAATCTGTTTAAAAGCGGAAAAATCTCATCCCTGTGAATTAAATTATTTTTAATGAAAAAATTTCATAGCAAAATTGTTTTTCTGTATCTCTTTAATTGTTTTTTTTTTCAAAGAAAAGCCAGGGGGGTGAAAGTGCACCCTCTTGGACCCCGCTGCCGGCGCCTTTGGCTGGAGGTCATCACAATGACTTATGCCTGGAGAAATGTGTCGATATAAACTAAGCAAAAGGGTTTTAAAAAGGCTGGTTTTAAGTATAGCTGTAAAGGTGATGAACAATAGGTTGAAGGCATTAGTAAAGAAGAAGAAACTGTTGATGCTCGAAATGCAGTACCAGATTTGCAAGAATGGAATGCAATAAAATCTGTATTTAATGTTGACATTAATTTCGAAAATTTTTAAAAGTGGACAACTGCCTGACAACATGCGGAACATTGACAGATGCGGAAATCATAGATAATGACAAAGGAATATCAGATGAGGAGGAAGAAGCTGAAGATCATATTGATGAACGAAAAGTCAGTGCAAAAGAGAAAGAAAAAGCTGTAGAACTCTAACAAACTATTCTTGAATTTCAGGAAAATGTTGACTATGAGGGAACTTTTAACCTTAAAGAATTATCTAAACAAAGAAGGTTAGACGTCAAAAATCCTTGAAAAATTATTTTCAGTGTTAAATGCACTAAAAACAAAAAAACAAATAAAGCACTTTAAATAGAATTTTGTAATTAAATTTAATTTTTTAAAGTACCTGGAAAACTTAAAACCTCTTTATCTCATATTTTTCGCCTGTTGAAATTTGAATTTTAATAAAACTAGACACCAGTACATAAAACACTTTTTTTTGTAAAACTATTTGCCATAGCAGTCTTGCCTTTATTTTAGTAAGAAACATTAGATGCCCAACTCACAAAATACAGAATTGAAGCAATAGTCAACACAATATGACTTTCAATTGGTGAATAAGTGCTTATTTTTTGAATTGGTGAATAAGAGGCCAAATTTTTTTGCTTATGTTTGAAAATCAGAATTAAACTGTTACTTTAAACAGCTGAAGTTTTGAAAATAAATCTGAATTTTAGACAGCAGCGAATAAAAGAAGTAACAGATCAGCTAAAAAATTCCATCTCTGTACGCTTGGTTCCAAACTAGTCTATCACAAAAACAAGTATTTTTACTGATTCCCAACTAGTATATCACAAAAACAAGTAATTTTACTGATTCCCAACTAGTATATTACAAAAACAAGTAATGTAACTGATTCCCAACTAGTCTATCACAGAAACAGGGTTGCCAGAGAAAAAAATGAACAAAATAGTCGCTTTTAGTAGTGAAAGCATGAAAATAATTGCCTAAAAAAGAACAAAAATATTACCAAATGACTTAAATGTCATATACCATGAACCATTTAGTCAAGTGGGTGGCAAATATGATAATTTTTATTTAAACCGTTAGTGTTCTAGCACAAAACAAATTCACATTTATTCATTTTCAGTTTAAGAAGGAGGAACATATTTGCTTGTTAAACAAAAAAATGGTATATGCATACCTCTATATATTGTTATTGTTCTCATTTACGTTCTAATAATACGAATGTTGAAATAGATTTTAAAATTTCATCAATCTCATAAAAGTGGCATCCAATTTCTTTCCGTTTTAACATAATAGTATTTCCGCCCGAATTTTTATTAAAAAAAACTACATTTATTCTTTCATAAATAACACATTTGTGGACAGTTAATGTAAGAGTAAATGGACTGAACACTTACCAGAACAGTCGAATGTGGATCGTTCAGATTTAAATCACGCATAATAGTCTTCTCATCTAAAGGTTGTTGCAGAAAATAGTGGGGAAAAAATGCTCCAGCTATAACCATCTGAAAGTTACAAAAAAATTCTCGTTAAAGTATTAATGAAAATTATATACTTCTACATTGAATAAACTCAGATATGAGTTTGATAAAAAGCTGAAAACAGAAATAAAAAAAAAAATATTGTACGATAAACAAATTTTAAATAGAAACAATTCTTGAAATTTAAGCAAGAAGTGTAAATTCATGAAACATATACAGTGACCTCTCACTTATGAACCACCTCTTTTATGCACCTTTTTCACTTATATGCCGATTTTAATAGACCCCAGTACATTAGGTAGGAAAATAATGATAAACATCCTTCGTTTATGCATCGCTCTCTAACCTTTTAATTTTTTTATCCTGTAAATATTTTTTTTATTAAAAAAAAAAGGTTTTAAATTAAAAATGAAGCAAATAAGCAATCCTTGTTCAGATAAAAAGAAATATATGTTGTTAGATGCTATTGAATTTTCTTCCCCCTGTGACCTATTCATTTTTGCTGTTTCTGGAAAGACATTCTTTCTAGAATTTTGAATAGGGAGTCTTATCTGTTACCCCAACAATGAAAGCCCATTCATCTTTAAGAAATGGCCATTCCCCAAGACCAGGGGTTAGTTTTACTCCCATGCTGTTTTCTAGAGAAAAAAAAGACACCTGGAATACGAAAGAGACCACTATCACTTACTTGCAGTCAGATGGACATCATGAGTAAATAAAAGGAGGTGATCTGTTTAGTGACAGCAGTAATTGAACATCTTATTGTGCGGCATATTATGACGTCAAGTACTTTTCATAGAAATTTATCATGTGATGTTTCACCCTCTCCCATAAAACTCAACTTTTTTGTGAAGATCTGCTTATTTATATCTAACTAAAACTTGTGGAAGATGAGAAAGTGGTGGATGATATTGACGAGGATGATAAAGTTCATCCAAATCACACAGCAGTATTAGAAGCTTTAGATACTATTCGTGACTTTAATTTTGCTTCTGAAATTCCCCTTTATCCCATTTATATGAAGTGGAAAGAACTGTTTTTGAAATACGTTGGCAAGAACAATTATTTTGCAAGAATGTATTAAGATTATTTTGTAAGAAAATAAATTGTCTTAAGGTATATTAAATTTTCTCATTTGTATAATTATAGTAAATACCAAAACAGTATAAATATTAACATTTTATCTTTAGAAACAGATTTATTCATATTATCACTGCAATTTACGTTGCGTTTTAGAATTTTGAAGTTTTTCACTTATGCGCCTCTTTCACTTATGCGCTTTTTTCTCTTGGCCCCTTACACCGGTGCATAAGTGACAGTTCACTGTATGTAAGAAGCATATATCCATAAAACATTATCAATATTTTCATTTTAAAAAAATAATAAAAATGTCGAATTATGAACAATGCTGAATAAAAATTTTGATGTTTTATTTTGTAATATTTTTTTAAATATAATTTTGTGTGAATTTTGATCTCAGTGTGAGATATTTAAATCACGTGAATAAGAATCGAGATATGTAATTTTAAATCACCTGGATATGACGGGAGATGCATAATTTTAAATCCAGTATATGCAATTTTAAATCGCATTTACATAAGTACAAAAATTCATAAAAAAAAAAGAATTTTTTTCAGAAATCCGAAAAAAATTACCTTTTTTCAGAAAAGCGGAATTCGTTTATGTATATTTATATATATATACATATATATAAAGCAGAAAGAAGAAAAAAAAAGCAGAATGCCACCAGAAAGCTGAAAAAACTAATCCTTGATAAACTATAAGAAAAAACTACTTTTATACTAAGTAATTTTACATTAAATTATATAGTATAAAATAGTGTATCTGGATGCCTCTTTCCCAGACGCTTTTTAACAATCAAAATAAACATCTTTTCTATAAAAGAAAGAAGAAAAAAACCCCTATTTTTTGCAACTTTGAGAGAACCAGATGCCATGTGACACGTGTTCTTTACTTCTTCTAGCTTCTATTGATGCCTAGGCAAAATTTACTACTGTTTAGCGGTACCTTCACAAATTCAACTTTAGGAAAAATGGTAGTTTTACAAAATACCTTTTCTTAAAATTTTATTTTTTTGTCCTGTAAGAAACGATAAATTCATATTTTTGTATTGATTTTTTTGATATAATTTTCACAAATGATGTCTAAATTTTCTTGAAATAGATACACCTCTCAGAAAACCCCTGTGTATCAACCCATATATCACCAGAGAAAAGTATTACAAAGACAGGGTTGCTACTAAAAAATGGAGGGAAAAAAAATTCACTGTGTTTTCCCTGTTCATATTTTTTATACGCAATATATTAAGAGGAAACACAACCATTACTGTGCTGTTGTGTCAGCAATATTGGACTTACTATATTTATTAGCTTTAATTGCTGGAAAAACTTATGAAAAAAAAAAGGAATAGCTGAACATACTTAAATAATACTATAGTAAATGAAATACTTTAGTATAGCTGCATGCTTACACAGTGCTTTCACTACAGCGCGAGAATCTCGCATATTTTTTTCTTTTCTCGCGTTAAAAAATGATTACCGCGAGAAATTCGCGCATTCTATAAATCAATTTCAAAATTCGCGAATTTCTCGCATTTTGGAAAAAGCTTCGAATTACGTCATTTAGAATAAAATCCGTTTCACTTTTCTTCCTGGATCTTCATTATTTTCAACACTTGCCCCGTTATCCAGCTTCCCTATTTACCAGTAGGCATTGTTCAGTACCTTTTCAAACAACAGAACACTACCCCTTTCAGAACACATTTTTCTGCAACCACATGTTTACTGTAGGTATGGTTTTTCATGTAAGACGTTCAAATTTTTTTATGCGCTAATGTAAGATGGACAAATACCTAGTAAAGGCAAAATCTTCTATGATGATGCAGCAAAAATATTCAATGCTTTAAAAAATAGAAGACGTTAAAAATGTATTATTACAAAAGAAATATTTTTTCCAAGTCTATTTGTATTTTTTCAGTTTATAGAAATCTCACTTAACTTTCTGAAATCTCACCCTGTTTTTGAGAAAGGGTGAAAAATTATCACCCATTTTTTTTCTATGATGAAAACACTGTTACATATACCATAGATTACGGAGGAAACAGAACTTTTGAATAGAATTATGGAGAGAAAAAAAATCTTTCTAGCATTTCTGTAGAGAGGAAATTTTTACTCCATTATTCTTTATTTTTAATTCCTCTCAAATAAGGATAGAAAAATCACGAACATTTATTTTCTTTCTGATGCGCGAAAAAGGCATCGTTTTAAGTAAAATGTCAGAGGGGAAAAAATTTAGAAAATTTCTGCAGAAAAGAAAAAAAATTTTCTTATTTTTTTTTTTACTTTCTAGAGGAAAATTCTTTCTGCAAGAACTCTGCAACGTTCTGCGACAATATCGCTGAGATTCTGCCACAAGGGTGTTCTTGTGTGAGCTATAGTGGGCTAACTATATTTATGAGTTTTAATTGATTGAACAACAGCTGAACATACTTAAATAATGCTATAGTAAATGAAACAGTTTAGTATAGCTGAAATATCATGGATAAATATCCCATAGGTTACGCTTTGAGTGGTCGCCATTTTTTAAAAGACAAAATTCCTTGTATTTTCACAGTTTGTAAAGAAAAAAAATAAAAACTCCCGGTATTTTTAAAGGTTTTCCCTGTGGAGTGGCAACTCTGGAATTAACTATTAAAAAAAAAAACTTAAAAATTTTAAATGGAAATAAACCTAATGAAACTATAGTTTTATTGGGTTTTAATAACTTAGTTACATGATACATATTTACAACAGTTAGATCATAGTATTTAAAAACATTATAAAAAGGAAATTAGTTAACACTAGTAATAGCATTTTGTGACTGACTGGTTCGAGGGACTAATAAGTGTCAGTGTTTATAGGGTCCAAGGCAGATTTTAGTAAATTTAACTTTGACTACTTGACTTAAATCTAAATATACATTCACTAACAATATAAACATATAAACTACCAATACACGTCAACTAACAGGAATGAAGGTGAGCCAAACTCAAAAATCCTGAAACTTTCTTGAGCAAAATCATTAATGACTTATTTCAAAAAATTTATGTCTTTATAAATTTAAATCATTGATATTTTCACAACATGAAATTCTAAACAAATTATATGCAGCATAATTTAAATTAATAATTTTTTATGAATTTACTTTCATCTCTAATCACTTTTATTATTTACCAGAAAAAAATATTTACAAACGAAAGAGATGCCAAGTATAAATTCTAGTTCTAATATTTTTAAATAAAATATACAAGCATTTTTAAACATAAATGTGATCTTTTGATTTCTTGAAACTTCTGTACCTTGGATTTCAGGATCGTGATAAACGAAAAATCCGGAAATCGAAGCAAAATCATCTCTGGGAATGTGTAGAAATCATTAAAGAATAAAGAGCTGAGTGCCAAAATTTATAGTTAAAAAAAAAATATGCAGTGTTTATTTTACAGAATAACTACTACATATTAAAATTGAAGATAAAATAATAGTTAATTAGAAGTGAAGCTTTTGAAGTACATAAAAGTTGAATAATAGTGGTACTTGAGCATAAAAAAAACAATTTTCAAACTTTGAATTTAAAAATATTAAAAAAAAGAAAATTAATTCTTACTTTCAATACAAGGACGGATTTTTCGTCATGTTTGAAAGAGTGATGTTCTGATCTTATGTGCTGCTTTTCAAGACGACTTTTGATCTCTTTCACAAGTTTATCCACCTAACATTGCAAAACATCAACAAAAATATATTCACATAAATTGCAATAAAAAAAAGCAATATAAAAGAATAAGAATGAAGGAATTTTATAAAATTTGGTGTGCAACCAAACAATATTTTTGTTTAAAGAGAAAACTCAATTTGCATCATTGAAACTTCCATTTGAATTATCAATGAAGCAAAATTACATTTTGGTTGGAAAAAAAAAGACAGGAAGAAAAAAAAAGTTCATTTTATAAAAAAAGCTCAAATTATTAATTAACAAAATAAAGAAAGCAAAATTTTAACTTACAAAAGAAAATAAAAGCTAACAATTAAAATAAATTATTTAATTATTAATAGTTATGTTGTTGTTTCTAATTGCACTTGCCACAGGGGTAAGCCTGCTCGGTGAAACCGAGCAAATTTAAGGCAGAGTGTGCATTTCTTGTTTTCCAGTGGCGCCATCTATGGCCAAGAATTCGTCTTCTGCCACACACAAGTCGCACCCATTTATAGGGCGGGCCCATTCATTCATCCGCAGATCGTAATTTTGACTTGAATCAGAGAGCGATCGATCTCCTATCCAGTACCCCCAGAGGTTTTGATTTGTTATCGAAACATGGAAGACTTTGCGACTCGACAGATTTAACGTGCATCAGTCCCCATTTACTACACGGGGAGTCTTCGGCCGGCGGGGTTCGAACCCACGAACTCTCGGACATGGATCCAGCACCCTACCGACCAGGTTATCCCTGTCCTCTCCAAAATGGTGAAGGAATTTAGTTCATTTAAATTTTCAAATTGATTGATTGGCACTTGCGTTGGGTGCATTCCAAGATTCTCCCAGCATGCTTAAATAATTTATCATTAAGTACCTATTTTGTATTGTAGAACAAAATTTTTGAAGTAGTGCATGGCATGATTCAACAATTTAAAAAAAAAGCAACTTACTTCATTTATTCTTCTGATTTGAATGAAATTAGAGGATGCCCATTGAGCTTCGGTTTTGCCACCTGGTCTCCTAAATTGGCCTTGTTGACTCAGTTGCTTCCACACCTGTCAACACAATTAGGTGAGTACCACAAAAATAAATAAAAAAAATGAAAATCTAATTTGACAGAGTCGAAGATATTATTTTCAGGGTGCATAGCCAAATCTTTCAACAAAAAATAAACACCTTTTAAGCACTTTTTAAGCCCCTAAAAAATATTTTTAAGAACAATATACATTGGCAAAATGCAAAATAGTTTTCATGATCATGATAAAATAACTAGTTTCTGATAAAGAACTCTTTTCTTGATTATATTAGCCCTTATAAAAAGATAGAAAAATTTTTCGGTTGATTTTTAGAAGGAGGAAAATGAAGCCGGAAATAAGTGCCTCACTATGACTGATTATACTTCTGGCAAGAAGGTAACATTTTTGAGAGTATTCAAAGGTATCAGAAGAAAAATATGGTACTACAAATACCTTTTTAATCATGGTTTCCCACTCAATTGACATTTCAATTCATTTTACTTGTGCATAGTTCTTTTGCTTCAAAAATACAGTATTTAAAAAAACATTACAGGGTTTCCCACTCAATTTCAGGAAGAAAAAAAGTTCCCTGACTTTTCCAGGTATATCAGGTAAATTTCAATGGAAATCAATACCATATTTTATCTATGCTACAAAATTTTTCATCAGAAAAATTTTGATTCCTTTATTTGTAATGCCAAGTATTAGATTTTCTATGTAAGATAAATACTATATGAGGAAGGAAGCATTTCAGTTTGTCGAAAATGTGACATTTTTACAATGAATAATTGTAATAGATGTTAGAATTATTTAACTCAAATCTGAACAACTGAGTTACTGACAATTTTAAGAATGTTTTATTCAGGTATAGTGAAAGAAGTTTCCAGGTTTATGTAAAAAAATTGCAACTTTCCCAGACCATTCCCTGATTTTTGGAACTGAAATAAAATTCCCTGACAATTCCAGGTTTTCCCTTATCTCCCGTGGGAGCCCTGCTTTATAAATGACAATATTTTCATGATTATTTTTGGGGAACCAGTTAAATTTTTTTATCACAAAAATTATTTAGGGTCTTCCTTAGTTTTCAGGGTTGCCACTCATATCTGTAAAAAAGAATTTCCCTGCACATAATATGCGAATATATTCACTGCACTCTTGTGAACTATATTAGGATAACATACTAGTCTTTGTTGCTGGAAAAACTTAGAGTAATAACGAACGGCTCAACAAGAAACAAATAATGCTATAATAAATTAAATAACATAATATAGCCCAATTGTCATCGTTCAATAACTGAACCATCGCGTTGAGACGTCTGCATTTCTTAAAAGAGAGAAACAAGAAATAAAATGCCTTGTTTTCTTCCCGATTTGTAAAGAAAAACTCAAAATCCCCTGCATTTTCCCTGTTATTTTAGATGATTTTATATTCCTTGTATTTTCTAGGTTTTCCCTTTTGAGTGGCAACCCTGTTTTTGTTGATTTATTTGGACTCTTTGTGCACCAAATTAGGTGTGAATTGGATTATAATTGGGGATTTATTTACGCATTGTGCTATTCTGCTTCATGTATAGATAATTTATCCCATTGAATAGACTTAGGTAGCTTTAACTTTTTAAATTCAACATAATTAATACAAAAAAAAAATATTATTTACAACAAATGAATCTTAAAAATAATGGCTAATCACAAACAATCATTTTAGAAGGTTGCCATTCAAATCTGGAAAGAAAAAAAAATCCCTGTGTTTTCCCTGTACACAATGTATTAAGAGGGAAGAATTACTGTGTGCTCTCGTATGAGCTATATCTTAAATCCTGAAGGGGAAAAAAGGAAACGCTGAACTTACCTAAATAATGATTTAGAAAAGGAAATATAGTACATCTGAATTATCGTTCTTAAATATCCCATAGAGTGGTCACCATTTTTTAAAAGACAAAAATGAGAAACAAAATTTTCCCAGTTTCTAAAGAAAAAATCAATATTCCCAGTTGTTTTAGGTGATTTTTAAACTCCCTGTATTTTCCTTGTTCTCAAGGTGGTGTGGCAACCCTGTTTTGTGCATATCAAACATTATTCTGTTATGATCATTGATCACAAATTATCTTGCTGACTTTCAACTTCAGAAATTTATAACAAAGCAAGGACTTGTTTTGAAAAAATTTAGACTTTTTAAAAAAATTAAGGAACTTAAAAATAGAATTGTTTATCATCAAATACATACATACCACCAGTGATAGTGCCAATTATTTATCTTTCTTAAAAAAGGAAATCAACAAATAAAAAAAATTAATAAAAACCAATTTCATTATATTTTAAGTACTGATATAATTGTACTAATTAACAAGGCTCGCCAAAGTAGGGCCAGACAATTCCTGCAAACTTATTTCTTTTTGAAACATTTTCAGATTGTTAAGGGTTCAAGACATTTATGAAACTAATCCTTATTCCACTTTTAATGATTTCACTGATATTGAATTTTAAAATTAATAGCAGAAATTAAGATTCACATTTTTTTTCCTCATATATTACAAAAAATTATAAATAAAAAAAATTGGGAAAAACAAGTTTCTACTTCTCGTTTCTGGACATGCATCACATATTGAGTTGTGGATCAATCTTGCTAAATATTCAATTAAGCCCAAAAAATTCTGTATTTCTATTAATAAAATGTTTAATTTGTAAGGGTATACATTAAAAGAATTAACAGAAAATTGATAAGGTTCCTTAATTAACAAATACTGATAAATTAATTATTTTTTCGTCATTTTTAGATATTAACTTTTAATATTTTTTTATTATCCTCTATCATTCTTAATATTCTCTACTGTTATTATGATTTGATATTTTATTTTCAGTACAAATTAACAGTTTAAAACTGAATATGGTATTTTTTTATTATAAAGTAATCCTGTAATATCACCTTATTAGGTAACGTTTTATAAAAATACACTGAAAAATTTTATGAAAAACATATTGAAAATGGTATGTAACTTATCAGTTTTGAAATTATTACTAAATAGCAAATGTATTTATATTTACTTTTATGAAGAGCTTTACATAAAATTATTTCCAGGCAAAACTGTTTTTAGGAATTAACTTTACATAATATTATCTAATCAATCTGGCGAAACACATGAATTTTAAAGCAACCAAAAGTTAAATCGAAATTAAACAGTATTTTAAGTTGTAATTTTAACGGAATAAAATTATTATTAAAATCTTAGTTTGAATTTGATTCAAATTGACATTAATAAAATTTTTTTTTGATTTTTTAACACATTGACAGCCGTGTCACTGGTATTGAGATGCAATTATTTGTGAATGATATTCGCATGCATTTGAAAAGATATTTCACAGGAAGTAACAAAAATATTAAATTGTTATAAAAGTAATACAAAAATGATTTATTAAGAAAATTATTGTGAGCCTCATGAAAACTTTCCTATTCTCTGCTATTTGACACACTAAGAAATAAGTTTTCCATTTTGCTTTCTGAAATTCCAATGAATTAGGGTAAAGATTTTAACTCCTCTTTACTCATTAGACTCAAACTGATTGAATAAAGTGGCAAGATGAGAAACAAATGTGAAGCAATGGACATAAGACACACGATACCATAGAAACAAACGGAGCAAGATATTATTTTTGTGACTATCAGAGACTCGCATTACTAAAATATAGACAGGAGTACTTAGCAAGATATAATTCATAGAGTGGTACTCATGGCCTAAAGGAGATTTCGCTGTAAATGTGTGCAGCAGTTAATTGAGTAGATTTAAATTTTTATATAACAATCAGCTTATTCTTAAGAAATAAAAATAGCATAAAAATCTAAAACTTTAAACAAATATTTTACATTGTAATGAAACAAGTTATAAATAGTTACCAAAGATTTAATTTTCTTGTTAGAAGCAAATCATGCATTCTTCTTTAGTACTTAGGAATGAAAATTTTAAGTATTTTTGAAAAAACTTGGGGTTTTCATAAAAAACCAAATAAATCCTAGGTTTTTGATGAAAAACCTTGGTGGGATGGAATTTTTCAAACTTTGTAAATTACAGATATGTTTAATTTTTAGTACAATCATGAATTTTAAAAAATATTACTGCTTCCTATAAATTTACAGTTATACAAATATTATACAAATTTAAATAATATTATATTTAAATTTGAAATAATTCTAAAGGTTCTTGGAAATAGTTTTCATTATGGATTCTAGTTAAAAATAATTTCTGATAGGGTTTTACTTTGTTCATATAAGCGGATGTGCTACCAGTAAAACTGAATTTCTAGAATTATGTTGATTTTGAAGGTTAGTGTAGGTTTCTACTTAAATACATTAGAACTCCCCCCCCCAAAAGTACCATCTCTTCGATGTGCAGCACCCCCCTTATCCGCTCTCTATTCTTTTCTTTTAGAATGCTTCACTCTCCTCATGGAGTATCATTCTAAGCAAAAGGAAGAATATATTAATGGAAGAACCAATATATAAATGTAAAGACATGCTTTCTTTCCTTTGCCAGTAGCCCCCTCACACACGTCCCTTCTTGTCTGTCTAAAATCCTCTACACGGTCTTAGTTTAGGTTATAAAAGAATGACTTTTTGTTTTAAAAAATTGAACTGAAAAATTGTTCGGATCAACTATGATGCTGAAAAATTGAGGACTTTTAAAAACTGTGTACCAAAATAAAGTACCTTTAAGGGCCATTATTTTCCAAAAAAAAACTAAGCAGATTTAAAGACTTTTTAGGTCCGTGGGAACCCTGAACTCCTATTTTTTCATTACTATTTACAAAAAGAAGAAGAAAAAAAAAACTATTCAAAGTTCAACTTAGCAAAAGAAGATTAGGGTATTATTTAAGAGGTCACAGTATCTTTGCAGCAATTTTTTTAAATAAAGGTATAATGTGGATGCTTTACATGCTAATTTAACTTATCATCAATAACTTATCTTCAAAAAATAATTAAACTGTTTAATTTCGTTTAAATTTTTTAAAAAATTTGAAAAAATTCAAAATTTTTAAATTTTTAAGGCTTTTTTATTTTAACATATTTAAAAAATTTTTTTTTTTTCTTTGTGCTTACAATATTCATCTTAACAATTTTGTGCATTTATTTGTTGATAGATCAATTAGAATATTTTTTATAGATTATTTTGTAAAAAAGTAGAAAAAAAAGGTTAAAAATTCCTGTTAGGTACATATAACATGATGTAAAAATTGTTATACCTCATAAAATGCTTATTCAATGCACAGTTTAAATAAGTGTAATATACTTAAGATAAAAAAGTTTACTTCAAAGATTTATCTTAAATAGAAAAATTCCTTAGGGATTTAATTAAGATTAAAACACAAAATTATCATCTATGAGAAAAAGCACTTTAAAGCTTGTCTGCTGAGCAAGTTTCTCTAATAGGACAATCTAAAATCATTCATTAGCTTTTTAAAAATGCAGATAGAGAGATGATTTTTTTTTCAGTGCATTTGAAATAGTTTGAAGTTTTATAATAAGTAATAAATTTTTTTCTGATATTTTGGTCATTTTTTGGGTACTGTGACCAATTAAACTAGTCAGTGAATTGGAATTTCGTACATAACCATAAATTTTATTTTATTAACATTTTTAGACGTTGCATTTACTCAGTTTTATTCCATAAATACATTAGTAATAATTATTAAAACTTTACTTACTTTATAAGCATTTAGATAAACTAAACAATCACTGAAAGTGCTATCATCCCAGGCAAGTCTGGACCTGAAAATTACAGAAAAAGAAACCATTTACTACTAAGTCAGGGTTGCCACAGAAAAAATTGAACAAAATAGTTGCTTTTAGTAGCCTAAAACATGAAAATAGTAGCCAAAATAAGAACAAAAATTAATCAAAAATATGGCTAAAATTTTGTTAATGACTTAATTGTCATATACCCTGACCCATTCAGTCAAGTTAGTGGCAAATATGATAATTTTTATATAAACATAAATGTTTTTATATATTTATTTATATATATATATATATATACTTATNACACAAAAAGTGATCACTCAAATTCGAAATTCATGCATCGTAATATTGTATTAAAAATTGATATATATATATATTTTTAAATCATGCAGAATTAATTTCATAGCAATAATCATTGAAAAGGCGATCGTAAATGAAATAGATTTACAATGGAGTCTATGCAGATAAAACAAATTAAAAAGTGAAGACTCAAATTTGCAATTCAAAATTTTCAACATTTATTATTATTTTTTTTAAGAAAAAAAAAAGTTCAGTGTTCAGAAACTTTCTTGTGGGGTGCAGATTTTCCACCCAATTTATGCCTTTAAAAAATAAATCTTCGCGAGGGGTTCAGAAAAGTCTCCTTTACCTGAAAATATTTGCTTTTTTAGCCTTTTCAGGTAAAAAAAGTTGCCATAGTCGCCTCATGCCAAAAATAGTTGCATTTTAGTCGCCTGTGGAAACCCTGCTAAGTTCTAGACCAGGGGTGGTCAAGCTCCTTGATAGTCAAGTCATTTTTCAAAATTTGAAATTTTTCCCGAGCCACAATTAAATATGTATTTAAAAGGTATGCAAAAAGGTATAAATTTTTTTTTACATAAATTATATTTATTGAAAACATATAAAAAAAAAGTAAAAGTACAAAATATGTGTATTGAATTTAAATATTAAAAATGAAACACATTTATTTTACTTTTCTTGATAATTCTTTAAAATTTGGTGAATAATTGGTGACAGCACTTCTCAGTAATTCTTTGAGATGCTGGTTAGTTTATACTGATTGGTGGTTGGATTTCACGAATTTTAAAGCTGAATAAAATGATTCACATAAGTATGTTGTTCTGAAAATTGAAATAATTCGACAGGCAGTCTTTTTTAATTCAGGATATTTCGATTCTGGTACAAATTTCCAAAATTCAGTAATCAACGTCGACTTATATTTTCATTGTAGAGCTTGAACGTCTTGCATCTCTATTAATTCTAATTCTCCAGATGCTTTTTGCGTCATAATTATATTAGAAATGGAAAACAGACCTTGAATTGAGCAACGTTGCACTTAGTATTTCATATTTGTTCTCAGTAATTTAAAATACATTTTGAAATACATACGGAACGATAATAAATTTTTAAAATATAATAGCACAAAAATGAAAAAGGAACTCGGGTACGTTTATCAAGAGCCAGAAATAATCCTTCAAAGAACCGCATGTGGCTCGCGAGCCGCAGATTGGCCCTTCCTGTTCTAGACATTCATGTTTTATTGAAAAGCAGCTCAATTACCTAATTGACCATGTTAAAAACCCATCTAAACCAAACTTTCAACATCCAATAGCATTTTGCTTATTTGGGGTTTCACCTGAATCTGGATTAAGGATGTGCTGACTTTTCAGCTGAGTGTAGTAGGACATAGAGATGACATTGGCATAGTTGCCAATCTTAGGAAACAAAAATTAGGAACACTATATGTGACAAAATTATACGCACCAATTACGAGAGTAAGACAAAAATTTAACTATTAAATAATAACATTAATAGACATAATATATTTAAATACCTTATGTAAATTAGTAAAAAAAAATTATATACACTATCTTTTGAGGGAAATTTATAATGTTATTTTATAATTAGGAATACCGGTAAAATAGTTAACAAAAAAAACATTACCTATTAATATATAATTATTCTTCTCCAAATTATAAAACAGAGGTAAATATTAAACTACATCATAAACAAATATTTCTGATGCAAATGTTTAAATACTACAAAACAATTTTTAAAAAATAATAATAGTTGCTTAAGATTCAATTTAGTGAAATGATCAGCAATAGCTATTGAAATAGTATTTCCCAATAAAACGATACTAAAAATTACTTCTGCACAATAATCATGATTGCGGCGATCAGAACAAGGGATTGGTTTAAAAGCAAAAATACAGCAATTTTACGAAAATTCGGAATTTTTATAAAAATATCAGATTTTCAGATTTGATTTAAAAATTAGGAGCAAATCCGAAAAATTCAGGACAGTTAGATGTTACGGCACGCTAACAACATAACAGTTAGATGCACCACGATCTTTCGATACAACAATGTTTCACATTTAATACTGCGTAAATTCGTACTTATAAGTTGCATTTTTTTTAATAATTATTTCTCAATATTTAAAGACATGGATGTCTGGAAAATAGCGGTGAAAAAACATTGAACGGCTGGAGGGTTTTCACACAAATCTTGAAAAAATTCCCTGTGTTTTACCTGTACATATTATACACAATATATTAAGAGGAAACACAAAAATTACAGTGTTCTTGTGTGAGCTATATTGGGTTAACTATATTTATTAGTTTTAATTGCTGGAAAAACAGCTGAACATACTTAAATAATGCTATAGTAAATGAAACAGTTTAGTATAGCTGAAATATCATGGTTAAAAATCCCATAGATTTACGCTTCGAGTGGTCACTAATTTTTAAAAGACAAAAATAAACAAAATTCCCTGTATTTTCCTAGTTTGTAAAAAAAAAAAAAAAAAAAAAAAAAAAAAAAAAAAAANTCCCAGTTTGTAAAAAAAAAATCAAAATTCCTTGCATTTTCCCTGTTGTTTTAGGTGATTTTTAAATTTTGCAACCCTGGGCAGGATTCATTGTAAAAATACATACAGGGTTTGCACACATTTAATTAAAAGAAAACCCTTTTATGAATAAGGGATTCAACAACGCAGTTGATTCTCAATCACATTCGGATTCATTGTGTCAGCGAAACGATGAGTCACAATGCAAAAAGGACAGGGAAAGACAACGATCCTTGCCGCAGCTATTATGGCAAACTGAAGGAGGAAAATGGTCTTCGTGTGAGCTAGCCGAAATCTATGTGCTAACGGGAACAATGCTCAACATCGTGCGTGTAGTCATTGAGGCCAATGATACATCGAAAAATTTCATACAAATCTTGGAAAATCCCAATTTCCGATGCTTCAAAAAATTGCCAATCTAAAAATCTACTATTTTTCAGGGTTTATACAGAGACCAGAAGAAGAAATTCAAGGAGTATCCAAGGAGTCCAAAATTTTAAGGACTTATCAAAAATTTAAAAACTTTGTGTAAAAGATAACTAGACAGTTTTTTTTCTTTAAATTAAAAAGCAGTTATTATAAGGAACTTGCAAAAATGTATATTTTGCATAAGATATTTTTTTCCTAGTCCTTTTGAAATAAATCTTGACTTTGTCAAACTTCATCAAGAAAAATAAAGTCATCATTTTCACACATAAATAAATACATAGTACAGATGTTAAAGATTAACATAAAAACCTACTAATCGTATATTTTTAAATTTGAATACATAACAAAATCTAAAGCATTTTATACAAAAAAAAAATCACAGTAAATAATTAAGTTTGCTTTGTAACATGTAAATTTCAAATTATTTGCTGTTATTTTTTCTTCTAACTCTAGCAATTCAATTTTTTCTTTCTTATTAGGTAAGTTTTTCTTAAACTATTAGATTTGGACAGCTAAGTCATATCATTTCGTTTCCCTGCTTGGACAGCAAATTAATCAGCGGACTTAGTAAGTTCATCTATGCAACACAATAATCTAAGGAGTTTCTAAGGACTAATTTTGAAATCTAAGTAGTTCCAAGTACTCTTTGGAGACTTTTTCATTTCCAAGGAGTTTCTAAGGAGTATAAGGAGTCAGTACAAACCCTGCTTTTTACAATCAAAACTGCTTTAGTTTAATCTAGCAGCACTGATAGAAATGATGATAATGAACTCACTTGTAAGCATCTAAAACTTTTTGAAATGGTCTGGAAAAAAAGCTCTGCAGAGACAAACTAGCAGCTACAAATAAAGATGGAGAAGAAGAAAAAAAAACTCATTAAAGAGAAACAGAATAAAGCACATCAAACATGACAAGAAAATAGACACAACTTTTTTAATAAATGGAACTTTTGATGCAACAACTCACATATTTGAGCATGCATTAATCAAAAAAAATATAAATTACTCCACAGTTTTAACTTTTCCTAAATTTAACTTTATTTCAAATATAGTTTTTGCAAAAATGATTTATGTCATTATCCCTTTAATAATCAATTTTAAATACAGGGTATCATCTCCTACATTTTAGATTTTCAAATTCATGATTTTCCATGACTAATTTCAAGAATTTTTCATGACTTATCAAAATTGCTATTTTCTCCAACAAAAACGCAATTTTTTTTTTTTCCTTCTGCAGAATTATATTCTAAAGATACTTTACTTGTTCTTCAGGAAGGAAAGAAATACTCCTGATTTTCCTGTTCATTTCGGAATAAAAAATATTCGCCAATAACTGGTTTGCTTCAACTAGAATTTGAAATTGATAAAATTAAAAAAAAAAAAATAATAATAAAAATTCTTAAATCGCAGAAGAGAGTATAAAGGATAAATCGCTCTAGAAATGATATTTTTTGAAAGAACATGATAAAATCATTTTATATTCAAATAAAATATTCAAATAATTATAATCAAACAAAACAGGATGAAATTGGGGGGAGGGAGATTCCATTTCAAAAATTAGATTTTTCGGAGATCTAAATCCAGAATTTTTCATGACAAATTTTGTTCAATACTGAAATTCATGACTTTCCATAATTTTTCATGACTTTCCAGGTGCACGGATACCCTGTAAATACTTTCTAAGGACGGGATAGCCAGGTTGGCAGAGAGCACTGGACACACATTTGTGAGAATCCAGCCATGTGAAGATTCCCCGTACAGTAAATGATGACTGGTGCACGTTAAATCTGTTAGGTCACAAAGTTCTTTATGTTGTTGTTGTTAATTTACGTCGCACTAGAGCTGCACAATGGGTTATTGGCGACGGTCTGGGAGACATCCCGGAGGATGATCCGAAGATCCATTACAATTTTGATCCTCTGCAGAGGGGATGGCGCCTCCGCTTCAGTAGCCCGACGACCTGAACGCGAAGTTGAGTACTTTACGGTAGCACAGTTTAACAAGGACCCATACCGCACACTAACAAGGACCCATACCGCATACCAGTCGGACTTCTATTTAACGAATTTCCGTTTTGCAAATTTTTCTAGTTCGCGAATTTTTTCGAGGAACCAAGAAAATTTCTTCGTAAAATAACTTCCAAATAGCGAAGTGAATTTTCTATTGAACGAACTTTTCTCTATTTCCCAAAAATATTTCAGTACATTTTAAAGTTGTAAATGCAATTTACGGGGGAAATGACCTTGAATTGATATTTGAAGCCACTTAACTTTAGTTTGTATTTCAAGCGAAAAGCACAGACAAAATTAACGGCTTTTATCAGTAGCAATTAAACTTATGAACGCGTGTGGTAATCCATGTTTAAAATTACTTTTATAATAAATGCAGCAATAATTTTACACATAAACTTAGCCTTTTTTTAGCTGAAAATATGTGTAGCATGATAGTGTAACATTGGATTATGTTTCGCTGTATTCTTGCTTTTCATGCAGATTTCTTTTACGGTTAGGATTTATAAAATAAATAGTAGATACTACTTCGCAAGATAAAGTTATATCCATTGCTATTTTAATTATGCCTAGTGTTTAAGAGTTTAAAAACTGTTTTGTGTTGTGTTAGTATTTCAAAAAGTAATTTTCTACTTAATGAATTTTCCATATAACGAACTTATTACCAGGATTTAGCGACTTTGTTAAATAGAGGTCCGACTGTATTTGCTTTAAAAATATATCGCATGTCTTATAAAATATATGCATAAAAAATGGTTATTACCGATTATAATACAGTCATCTAGACAACGAAATACATATCCAAACACTATTAACTTGCTGAGCTTTATATCCAAAGGTAAATTTGACATAACACGCCCAATGAATGTGAGATCACCATCAAAAGGATTCAGCGATCTGGAAGTAAGTGCCAAAGCCTGAAAATAAAATTTTATGACAGATAAAAACGACTGACAATTCTTGGTAAAAATGAAAAGAAAAAAAAGTAAAAATGAAACCTCTTTCAGGTGCAATACTGCATTTCCGATGTCAGAGAGGTCAGGGGGATCTAGAGCGAAAGCGAGCATTTCTTGAGGTTCGCAAAGATTCAACCTTTTCAGCTGCAAAATTGTCCGTGTGAGGGGACATCTCTGAAATAATAATAGACAATGAGAAGACATCTTAACATGCAAATTACTTACCAGGATAGTAAGCATAGCTGCCAACCTCTAGTTATAAAAATGCAGAAGATCGACAAAAAAATGCAGAAGAAATGCCTAAAAATGCAGAAGATTTTTTTGCAAAGATGCTTTAGTAGCACCTTTTGCTTTTACTAAAAAAAATTTCGTAAAGTCTCTTTTAAAACAAAGTCTACCTTCTTCAGACTTAATTATTAAATATTTTTCTAGAGTCACATCAGACATCGATGAGCAGAATTGAGTCCGATTTTTTTTTACTACAGAAAACACCCTTTCGCATTCAGCATTGCTGTTGAATAAAGTCAATATAGTCAGACTTAAAGAAAATACTAGTTATTGGGTGGACGGGTAAAATGCAGAAGATCTTATCTTCGGTGCGAAAAAGCGGTAAAAATAGCTAAAATAAGTAAAATACAGAAAGCTTCTGCAAAATGTGGAAGGGTTGGCAGCTATGAGTAACATAAAAACATTAAGTATCTGCGTGAACAATCCTAAAGTATCTTTTTTGATAATAGAATCATTTTATTAAACATACGTAAACAGTTAACTATTTAAAATTGACAAAAAAATATCTATATATATGCACATTAACATTGAGAACATTACAGAAATATCAATATTAACAGTTATGCAGAAATAGGAAATTTAAGAACTGCATTCATATGAAGTAATTGTCATATCAAGTAATATTAGTAATTTCGCTCCAAACGAAATTTCATTAAAAGACTTCCTACTTTCACTGCAATCTTTTACCTTCATCGTAAAGCAATAGTCACATCGAGTGGAGTCGTAAAAAACTAGCCAAACATATGCTCGATCACCGACTGTCGAATCACTAATCTTTGGATTCAAGTGGCAGTTATATCTTTTCTTTTTGGGAGCAGCTTTGGGAATACAATTAAACACTGACTCGCTTCGACCTTGCCGAAATCCTGATTGTATTCCCCTGACACTTAAGGTGAAACTTATGAATGGTTTTTCAATTAACAAACAGTAAGTTATAAGCTTTGTATAAAACTGTGTTCAGTTGACAAGAAATAAATAATAAAAACATTGTAAAATATTATTAAAAATAAATTATTGCAATATTAAATAATCTCTCTGATGTTAGCTGTTATGCCAGTTACAACCCCAGCTTCAATTCAAATCAGCCAGATTTAAAATCACTCAATAAATAATGAACTGATTCTTTTCTTTATAAAATACTGATTTAAATCAAACGACTTCTACCGGTTTTATTAAAGACTATGGAAGCACTTAAGGAACCACTGTCTGTTGTTTACTTGACCCCACCCCCCACTAATGTTTGTGATAGGCTTCCCTCCCTATACACACACACACATATATTATTATTATCCGAATTATTACTTAAGTATTAAACGAATTATTATTTAGTATAAATTTGTAGTTACAACTGCTAATGTTCAACTCCGTAGTTTTGAACCCAACACAAAAGACAAGGGAACGTTTGGATCAAGTATTGTGGGAAATTTGCTTTTGTGGAGGACTTTTTGATGAAACTAACCCTCGTTTGCAAAAACTACGAAAAGCTCTTACGGTTCGCCTGACGGCAAGGGGTCTCTAACCCCAGATCCATCAACCACTGAGGATATTTTGTGTCATCACCGTGGTCGGTGCAAGCCGGATGCGCAATTCGTGTATACCAGCCAACACTGGGATTCAAAACCGGCTCACCTAATTGGAATGCGAAAGCTCTATCCCCTGAGCCAGGGATGGGGAAACTACGGCCCGCCGGAAGATTTCATCCGGCCCGCGGGCAGAATTTTAACTAGCCGATCAGTGGCGAATATATCTACTTTGTTTAAAACTATTTTTGTTGATTTCTTTTTTAACAAAGTACTGATGACCTTTTCACTTTCTCTATTTTTGTTCTACAAAACATAAATTAATTAAAATAGTTAGCACAAACAGCTTTAACTGGTAAAATGTTGAAAGCAAAAGTTCTTTATAGAATAGCTGTAGATTAGCTCCAACTAGTATTTGTCTTTCTCGAGGAGCAGACATATGGAATCTAATATAGGGGAATTGTACTTCACATGAGGCTGACTACGCGTTTTAAGTTCAAACGAACGGATTTTTCTGCAGGCTTGAGTTCTAACATAATTTACTGCGTATGGAAAGGTTGCACACATACAACGTCATTGTAAATAATGGTGAAATTATTAAATGTATAAAATGGCTTCTGCCTTTTTGAGTTATTTGTGAAAAAATTTTATCACAAAATGGCAACTAAAAAACGCAAAGTTGATGTAGAGTGACATGCACTCAATGATGAATTGACTTTATTTTATTTCAGAAGTTTTTACTCGGCCCACCAAACTTTTTTTTCTAGATTTTTGGCCCACGACCAAAAAAGTTTGCCCATCCCTGCCCTGAGCCATCACGACACAAATATCTGGTTAAGAATAAATCCACCGTGGTTTCAAAATCATGAAACGAGGCTTAGGGGAAATGTATTTCTTGTATCGGCTGCACAACGAGACAATTGAGCTTTCAAACTGTGGCAGGCTGTGGCCAGAAATTACTGTACCTTGAAGATATTTTAGCCAGGGTGGTATAGAAGTGGATTATCTACAGGAGACCTCTATATGGATACCATATGAGTCAATTATGTGGGACTCACATAAATCAGAAGTATTTTCTGTCAGAGCCCACTTTTAAACCATATATTGCTTTGTGCTTTTTTTTCCCTCTAATTGCCCATTTAGCATAATCTTCATCCAAAGGGGATTAAGTATGCATTTCTTAAGGTTGCCACTCAAATCTAAAGAAAAAAAGGTTTCCCGTGTTTTCCCTGTATATATTACAAGCAATATATAAATAGGAAACACAAAATCACTGTGCAAATGTATGAGCTATAGTAAGATAACTAATACTAGTTTAAATTGCTGGAAAGTGAAATAAAGAACTGTTCAACGTACATACAAATAATAATACAGTATAGTATAGCTGAACTATCTTTAAATAATCATAATTTGGGACCCTGTCATTTGCATGTGACATCAGGGTTCACGCAGAGATCAGAAGAAATCAAAGGAGTCCAAAATTTTAAGGACTTATCAAAAATTTAAAAACTTTGTGTAAAAGATAACTGGAATTTTTTTTTTTAAAATTAAAAAGCAGTTATTATAAGAAACTTGCAAAAATGTATATTTTGCACATTTTTTTTCTAACTCTTTTGAAATAAAGTTATCACTTTTACACATAAATATATTTTTCAGTTTCAAATATTGTAATAAATCTAGTTAAAGTACAGATGTTAAAGATTAACAGTAACAATCTTATAATTTTAAATTTAAATACACAAAAAAATCTAAAAATTTTATAAAAAAAAAAAAAAAATCACAGTAAATTATTAAGTTTGCTGGTAACATGTAAAATTAAAATTATTTGCTGTTATTTTTTTCTTCTAACTCTTGCAATTCAATTTTTTTTTCTTTTAAAGTTCTTCTAAAACTATTAGATTTTGGCAGCTAAGTTATCACTTATTTTCCCTGCTTGGACAGCAAATTCAGCAGCGGACTTAGAAAGTTCATCTATGCAATGCAATAATCTAAGAAGTTTCTAAGGACTAATTTGGAAATCTAAGTAGTTCCAAGTACTCCTTGGAGACTTTCTTATTTCCAAGGAGTATAAGGAGTCTGTATGTGTGCATGTGTGACGTCACGAACTCGGCGTGTTTGGCCAGACTTTTTCATTTGTTGTGTGTGAATCATGGGTAGTTCATGTCAGTTCTCATCTGCAGTACTTAAATCTGAGCTGAAGTTTGTTGCCTTTCAGTTGCTTTGTTCATAAGAAAAGTAGAATGTCTGTTTGCAGATTTATATGTTTTTAAATAAATTATACATTATTATTATATATACTACAGAAGCTCAATTTTTTCGTTTTAATGGAAATCAGTGTTTCAAATCATATTGGAAGTTTTCTTGCAGATTTTCAGGTCGATGTACTTCAATTATTAAGAGACTCTAGTTCAAAGCATGGAAGACAGAATTAATGTTTCTCTTAGGATGCGGTACAGCAGAGAAAGATTCCAAACACAAACCTTTATCTCTGGAATGCCATATTCAGGAAACTTGTTATAAAACTCTCTGGGAACCATACGATACACTCTTCCAATGTCAACTCTTCCTGCTCTACCTATAACAATACAAGAGTTTATGGATACTATTAAAAAATAAACTTTACACAGAGATGCCACTCAAGTCGGGAGATAAAAAATTCCCAGTCAATATTATACACTATTTAGTCAGAATTATTATAACAGACATTCATAGATGCTCTCAAAAACTCATTCTCCTTTAGTTTGAAATTATCAGTTTTGAAGATTTCTATCATTCTAATTTGTAAGTAATCAAAACTGTACCATAATTAGTTAGTTTTTAAATCGTCTGAATACAAATAGAGGTGTGTAATTTTAAATAGCATGAATATTCAATCAGGATATGATTTTTACATCCAGCAAATACAATTTTGAATGGCGTTTAGATAGTTAGTGAGATAAATTGAGCAGTGTATTAAATTCTACATTTTAGATAGGTCATTCATCAAAGATAATAAAAGAAAAATACGATATTTAAATAAAACTTTATTAACATTTAAACTTGTAGAACAAAAGAATAGGCATAAAGCAAAGCGCAAAAGAGAGAAAGAACAAAATTGTACTTTGTTTAACATTTAATTGTTTTTTCTATGAATTATCCATTGTATGTCAATCTCAGTATTCACTTTTATGTCATTTTCCGAATTTCTGCCACAAATGTGGTAGTAAAGGGTTTCTGCCATGCCGGCTTTAACCGGTTTCTACCAGTGGTTTTAACCACATTGGCAGAAACTCGCCAACCTTGAGTCAATCTGCTGTGAGAGTGGCCCTTCGCTCCGAAAAGGTTGTGCACCCCCTACTGTGCAGATTTCTAAAACTAAAGGTGCATTTGTAGAAATAATTGCAACACTAAAAGTAGTAAAAAAATATAACCTTTTCTTTGAATGCAGTTGGCTTTAGAGGCCCATTCCAGCTGAAGACATGTATAGTTTGTGGTCGTATCCGTTACTAAATTTTTGGTCAAACAAAAATCTATCACTGGAAAAAGAAAAGGAATTTCCTCTAAATATGCAAATCAGAAATATTAAGTGATATTCGTACACACAAAGTGCACATACTTACAAAAAACAGTCAAATCCCGTTAGAGCCAATTCCTAAGAACCTGTGGGGATAGTAGTTTTCGACAATGTCAACCTTCATCTATAAAAAGGTATCCCATCTATCTATGTATCTATCTATATATATGCATTAATATATTATCTTGTGGTGACAGTAGTTATCGACAATGTCAATGGTAATCTATGAAAATGTATCCCATCATAGAATCGAGTTAACATGTCTTATATACTAGTGAATTGGAATTGTATTTTTGTAGAGGTAGACACACAGTCAGGGGTCTGTCCAGGCCGAAATCACTACCGTTCAGCGGTACCTTCACAAAATACTTTTTCTTAAAATTTTATTTTTGTATCAATTAAGNATCTGTCCAGGCCGAATTTACTACCGTTTAGCGGTACCTTCACAAATTCAATTTTAGGTAAAACGGTAGTTTCATAAATTCAACTTAAGGAAAAATGGTAGTTTCACAAAATACTTTTTCTTAAAATTTTATTTTTGTATCAATTAAGAAACGATAAATCTATATTTTTACAATGCTTTTGTGTTGATTTTTTAATATAATTTTTCACAAATTATGTCAAAATTTTCACAAAATAGGTACCTTTCAGAAAAACCTAGACCGACCCCTGACAGTACTCCCCCACCAGAATTATAGCTGTGATAGAATTCGATGAACAGATACCACTAGTTGATTCATTGCTGTTTTTGTAAGAGGTTGGGAGAGCTGTATTAAGATCACCATCGTTGTTGCTCCTGTGTTGCTATTAGCAGTCGAGTGTATGCAAGCCGACGTGTGATTGAGACTGAGTAGCAACAACGAGAGGAGGTGGATAATGTTGCAGTCGCAAGTCGACTGTTCAATGTGGACCATCCATTGAAGCAGGCGTTACTGTCAAGGTAGGAGTGTCTATTTCGAAGAGGGAGTTTAATCTAAGGTGCGCATGTTCATATCACGCCTGGGTCAACAATGTGGGGATAGTAGTTTTCGACAATGTCAACCTTCATCTATGTTAAGGTACCTCATCATAGAATCGAGTTAACATGTCTTATATACCAGTAAATTGTAATTGTATTTTTGTAGTGGTAGATTAAAAGGAAACAATGCATTTATTATCACTTACCAATCAGAAATTACGTCATCCGTAAATTTTTATCAGTACAAATAGTTTAGAACCAGTGGAAATTAAAAAATTCTCTAAAACTATGCATATTTTCAAACAACCGAACTGGAAAGCACTTTTTTGGAAAGACACCTGCATAGCTGCCAACCTCTAGTTATAAAAATGCAGAAGATAGACAAAAAAAAAATGCAGAAGAAATGCCTAAAAATGCAGAAGATTCGCAACTGCATACTAATTACCAATAAATTTATGAAAGAAGTGGATTTTAATTATTTATTTATTTATAAATCCACTATAATATAAGCATAAAAAAGCAGTACTCACCTTTTTTTAAAACAAAAAAAGGAAACATTATTTTTATAAACTTTAGATCAGCTACTTGATGGTACAATATTAATTTAATAATTCTTGATTAACGGCCCTGCCTAAGGCTGTTACAAGAGGAGTAGCGACGTCTGACTTAAAGAAAATACTAACTATCAGGTGGCCGGGTAAAAAGCAGAAATGTGGAAAAAATAGCTAAAATAAGTAAAAATGCAGAAAGCTTCTGCAAAATGCAGAAGGGTTGGCAGCTATGCACATGCATTTTTACTTCATCAAACATGAATGGGTTGGGGTTTCGGGGTGGTACCTTCCGAGTGATTCGTCTTTTTTTGACATGTCCCTTTCACATCTGAAACTCTTCATTTTGAAGATGCAAAAATATTTGAATTCTGAGATCATTGCGTACTTTTAAAGAATGGAAAAATGTTGAGATCAGGAGAGGAAATTAGCTTAACCATTGCGTTGGTTCCTGGGAATTCCCTACAACGGGACTTGACTGTAAATCAAAAACATTCATTTTACCAAAAACAAATTTTGAGTACCTAACACACACAATGAACGCATGCAGTAACAAATAGAATTTGTTATTTGTGTAACTTCTATGTACATGTTCTATGTTTTCTTTGATTTTTTTTCAAAGAACACCATAATTTTTAAAAATTATGACAAAAACATTTTATATTTGAATCAAATATGACTATGAGTGGGGATTTTGTTACCAATTCAGATATTTGGAACACAGTGAAATTGAGGGTAAATTCCATTTTAAATATTAGATTTTTCGACGACCTAAATCCATGACAAAGTTGAAAAAAAATATATGAATAATACGTGTATAATTGAAGTATTTCATCAATGTAAGAACATTTAAAAGGCAGAAACGCAATTAAAATCTAATATATTAGAATAGATTAAAAATTACTTATTGGAAACATAAGCACCAAAAAGATTGTTAATTGAGCATTATTAATTTAAAAAGAAAACATTTAAAAAATCTTTTTTAACTCCTATTATAGAAACATCCTTCAAAGAAACTAACAAATATTAAAGCAATCCATATTCAACTAAAATTAATCCACAATTATTAAATTAGGTTAAATAGAATAAATAACTAAAGAATAATGTTTTTTATCAACAGAAGAGCAAAAATATAAATAAATAAAAACATATTTTTTAATCATGAGCTATAAAATAAGTTTCAATAAAACAAAGCTGTAAGAAGTAGAAAAATAAAAGTAGAACTTATTAACCAATAAAATGAAATAAACTTTTCTACAACTAAGTCATCCTAAAAAAATTAATTAAATTTAATAAAAATATTATACAAATAATCAGTATTTAATTAAAATTAAATCATATTTAATCAAATGACAAACTTTTTTAAGAGGAAAAGAGAAAAAACTATAAAAATGCAATATGTTAAGATTTTCGATTTAAAAAAAAAATGAATGGTATAAATATGAATGAAAAAATAGATAAAAAAATATAAATTACGATAGTTACACCCTAAAATTAATAAAAAAATAATTAAAAAATTTATTTTAATGAATGAAAATTATCAAAACACAAAAAGAAACTAGCAAATATATGAAGAACATTGATGTTATTATTTTTTTTTAACTGAAATAATGCCAAATTATAATCAACGAAAGATTTGTTAAAATAACCAAATTAACTAATATAAAACAAAACTAATTATTAAACACCACAATATATTTCAAAATTGGTTATAAGAAAACAAAGAAAATGATAAAAACTTATTAAAAAAATTTACAAAACAACAATTAAAATTTAACGATACTTAAAAGAAGCGTTGCCAGACATTTTAAAAGACCGCAGATAAGGCAGGACATAAAATCAGATTAAATTTAAAAAAAAAAAACGTTATTTTAAAACTTATAAATAACAAGAACTTAGAAGATTGAGTACAAAATTTAAAGGGAACGGAAAAAAAATTCAAAACTTAATCGAATTAGAAATGTATCACTTGAAAAAAAAGAGAAAGCTGCAACAATCTGCTTCATAAAACAATAGTTTGCTTTTAATCACAAATAATTGATTACGTTTAAACTGCTTTTATTTATAAAAACAGACGATTTTTAACGAAAGCAGGCGTGATTCCACATCAGGCAAAACTTGCAAATGATACCCCACCTCTGAGGAATCAGAATAATTCACTCAAAAATGTTTCTTTAATAGATATCAAATAAATAGGCATAGTAAGGGATAAAAAAAAAGTTTTGTCCTTAATAATTAATGCATGATGTGAAATTATTAAACAATAATTTCCCTTAATAAATCAAAGAGAACAAAAATAGAATTTAAAAAAAATAATAATTAACATGTCAAACACTCTCAAGACAGAAGTCTCTGCTCAAGTTCCTGACTTGGTCATCCAATTGACAACACTCCAAAAACATTTAAGAACGCTTTAATATTCTATTGCGCAAGTGCAAATTACACAATTGAAAATGTGAAAGTATGCGATAACAAACTTCAAAATTTTAGGTTATTAAGGTGTTCCATTTCTTTTCTCTTTTCTTTTTTTTTGCACACGATTAATTCCAAGAATTTTTCATGACTTAACGAAGTTACTATTTTCTCCGACAAAAACACAACAATAATTTAAAAAAGCATTATAATAACATTCATTGAAATAATAGGTATAACCAAAAAACTGTTATTCTCTGCATCTTCCTATTTAAAGATTTTAAATTTAAAAGACAGAGTAAAGAAAGAGTTAAAGCAATAAAATAGCTGAAAAAAATACAAAAGCAAATAATTTTTTTTTCTGCAGAATTACATTCCAAAAATTCTTTTCTTGTTCATTGGAAAGGAAAGAAATACTCCTGATTTTTCTGTTCTCATTTCGGAATAAAAAAAATTTGCCAATGACTAGCTTGCTTCAGCTAAAATTTTAAATTTATAAAATGAAAAAAAAAAAAGAAAATTCTGAAATCACAGAAGTTTAAAAGATAATTTGATCTAGAAATGTTTTTTCTTTCATTTCTTGAAAGAACACCATAATTTTTAAAGAGCACGATAAAAACATTTTATATTTTAATCAAATATGACTGTGAGTGGGGATTTTGCTACAAATTCAGATATTCGGAACACCATGAAATTGGGGGGAGGGGGTACATTCCATTTTGAAAATAAGATTTTTCGATGGCCCAAATCCATGACTTTTCATGATTTTTTTTTCAAAAAATAGTTAAAGTCATGACATTTCATGAAAAATTTTGTTCAATACTGATATTCATGACTTTCCAGGTGCGCGGATACACTGCATATGATGTTTGTGCGAAGGGAAAAGTAGCAGAAGGGCATGCAACACACGAATGTATGGCGTGAGGTGGACTACCGTCTCTAGATGCTTTCTGTGTGACCGACAGAAGTCGCATAGAAAATCTGTGACACATGTATACAAAAGTTCCTTCTACATTCCGTGTACATTTTAACAATGAATTCTTT